GTTCCTCAACTCTGCCTTTGATGTTCAGGGCTCCCAGATTGCCATACATAATCGAATTACTTGGTTTTTTGGGTCTTTGTTGTAAGAGGGTCCACCGGAAGTGTCTGACTACTCTGCCGTCTTGGCCCTGACAGTTCCACTGGTTGCTCTTTGGAAACCCTATGGAGCAGATCTACTCTCTCCTATAGGATCACTATGAGTCGGAATTGACTCAATGGCAACTTTGTTTTTTTAAAGACAGTGTCTAAAACATACTACTCAATAGTATTTATTGGATGAATGGGCTCTCTGGCTTCAGTGTTATTCACATATAATTCATTTTCTACTTAGCAGTTGGAATGACCTTTCTGAAACAAAGCTGAGGGTAATTTACTGCCCTTATTGGCTTACCATTGTCTTCAGGTTAGAGATCAAATTTGTTATCATGTGTTTTGCTCTTTGTGATTCATACAATCAGGTCTACTTACCCTCCCAGTTTAACTTTTCCCTAATACTATCCTGATACTGAAATTTCAATTTCTCAAATACGCCCCTCTATCACTTCCCTGACATTACCTTTGCCGTTGAATCCTCGTATTCCTGACCCTCCTTCATCTGACTCACTCCTATGTATTGAAGAGGTCCTAGTCGGACCTGGTCGGACCTGAACTAGGATAGACACTCCTGCTAGAGCCTAAGCACTTTGCTAATCAATCACTGCATTGTCTTCTGCTATCAAACAATTCTGCAAGGAACATTTTTACACATGAATCTTTGTACAGGTATCAGAAGGATTAGGTAGTACAGGAGAAATTTTCTGAATCAAAGAACAAATTCTTTTTTAATGTTAGCAGACACTGTCAAATAGATTTCAGTTAAGATGTATAATGTGCTATTTCCCCCACCTTCATAGTGTATTGTCATAGTTTTTGATTTTTGTCAATCTGATATGAAAAGATTGGTATTTAATTTTACTTTGCATGTTACTTGGATGAGGAGTAAGATTAAGTATCTTTTAAAAATAAAGAACATGTGTATTTCTTTTTCTATGTTCTGTCTGCATGTGCCTTTTTTGGAGTTTTAGACTTTTCTCTATTGAATTACAGCAGCATCTTTACAGGAAATTTGTTCTTTGCCTGTCATATGCAAGTTTACCATTTGTTTTTTGACTGTGATTATGGATTTTTTTTTAGCATCCAAATTCTTTGTTTTTATGAAATCACAGCTATTTTTTCTAGTTTTCTTCAGAAAGTCTTTTCATTTTGAAATTATAGACATTCTTTCACATTTTCTCCAACTACTTTTTATATTTTCATTTTTTTACACTTAAATCTGGAGTTTATTTTTGCTTTGAAAGTGAGGTGTAAGGATGCCACTTCTTTCCCCCATGTGAACAACCAGTTATCCCAAAGCTATTTATTGAATAATTCACAGTTTGAGGAAAATTCCAGCATTATTTCTTTTTTTTTTTTAAAAAATTTTTTTATTGTACTTTAGATGAAGGTTTACAGAACAAACAGTTTCTCATTAAACCATCAGTATATCTTTTTTTTTTTTAAAAAATTTTTTTATTGTACTTTAGATGAAGGTTTACAGAACAAATAGTTTCTCATTAAACCATCAGTATACATATTGTTTTATGACATTGGTTAACAACCCCACGACAGTCTGTGCACATATTGTTTTACGACATTTGTTAACAACCCCATGAGATGTCAACACTCTCCCTTCTCGAACTTGGAGGACTTTTTTTTTTTTTTGGTGAAAATATACACAGCCTAAGTTAAACCATTTCAAAAGTTTCTACATGTACAATTCAGTGACATTGATTACATTCTTCCAGTTGTGCTGCTATTCTCACTATCCTCTTCCAAATTATTCCATCACTATTATCTTCAACTCACTGCCCCTTAGGATTCCCATCAAACCTTTTGAGTTGCTGTTGTCAGTTTGATCTCACACAGATAATTCTTTATTTTTTGTACCTTAGATGAATGTTTACAGAACAAATAGTTTCTCATTAAACAGTCAGTACACATATTGCCCTATGACAAGGGTTAACAACCTCAATTATTTCTATTTTTTTTGTGAAGTAGGAGTTGCCATCATCTGCTGAGGTACTTAAGTCTGATGTTTGAGGAAAATTAAAAATGGGAGAAAGAAACAGAATTGTTAGGTGACATTATAAGCCTAGATAAGGTTGGAAAAGAGAACCTTGCTGTGGCCCCCCAACTCTGAAAGTAGACGATTTTATTTAGTACTGTTGGGACTATGACTGGAACACATGGCCCTTCCATGTGGCTGTCTTACTTTCTCACAGCATGGTGCCTGGGTTCAAAGAGCAAGTGTCAAAGAACACCAGGCAGAAGGTGTATCACCTCTGATGAGTGTGGTAGACAGAAAAATGGCCCCCAAAGAGGTCTATATCCTAATCTCTGGAAGCTGGCAAAAGGGACTTTGCAGATGTGATTAAATTAAGGATCTTTAGATGGGAAAATTATCCTGGATTATCTGAGTGGGCCTAATGTAATCACATGGGTTCTTTATAAGAGGGAAGCAGAAGGGTCAGAGTCAGAGAAGGAGAAGTGACAATGGAAGTGGAGCTTGAAGTGATGTACTCTGAAGACACAAGAAGGAGCCATGAGCCAAGGAATGCAGGTGACCTCTATAAACTAGAAAAGGCAAGGATATGATTCTACTCTGGAGCCTCCAGAAGGAACCAGTCCTGCCAACACCTTGATGTAAACCCTGTATGACTCCTTTTGAACTTCTGACCTCTAGAACTGTAAGATAATAAATTTACATCGTCTTAAGCTGCTAAATTTGTGGTAATTCGTTTCAACAGCAATACAGATGACTTAACTTCTGAAGGTACAGTGTCACTTTCACCCTAGTCACAAGCCATCTTTGGAAAATATTACATGCAATAGGAGGAAAATTGGAATAAATTTGATCGGTTAAGGTCTAAGCAGAAGCCTGGTCTTTAGGAGCTCAGTGCTTGTACATTTTCATTAATCCTTAACCATGAATAACTCCCAAGATATGGTTTTCCAAGACTAGGTGCTTCTAAGAAATTAAGGTACCTTGGATTAGTGTTACAGAGGTAAGCAGAATTTGGGAATACATTTTGAAACTGTTCCAAATATCTATGAAAAATGCTAATAAATAGAATCTGACATTTTAAATAAAGTTGTTTGTAATATTTTCTTATTAACTTTTTAGTATTTGTACTCTGTAATGAAGTCATCTTTCTTATTCCTATTATTGGTAGTTTGTGCCTGCTTTTTCCTGATCAGTCTATACTAGAGGTTTATCAATTTTATTGATTGCAAAGAACAAACTACTTTTTGATTTTTCTGTATTGTCTTTTATAGTTTATTGATTTCCACTCTGATCTTTATTATTTCCTTTCCTCTAAATCTAAAAAATTTAGGTCTGTTCCGGTGATGCTTCCTCGGCCATGACTGAACCGGGCAGAACTGGTTCAAAGCCCTGGTTCTAGGTTGGTCGATTATGCTCATTATGGGCAGGGTTTTCCTGCCTCTTTGCAAGTCTGGTCATCTTTGATTTGATGACAGAAATTGTGAATTTTACTTTGTGGGGTACTGGATATTTCTATATCCCAATAAATATTCTTGAGCTTTGTTCTGGGATGCAGGTAAGTTTTTTTTTTTTAGAAATCATTCATTATTTCAGGTCTTCTTTTTAAGTTTTGTTAGGTGGGACTACAGTAGTGCTCAGTTTAGGCTAATTATTCCCCATTACTGAGTTAAGACGCTTTCGTATATCCTACACAGTACCTCTTAAATCATGAGGTTTTCCAGTCTGGCTGATGGGAACCAGCATTTGTCTTTGTGTGAGCTTCAGGTACTAGTACTTCTAATCCTTTCAGCTGGTTCTTTCCCAGGCCTTAGGTAGTTTCCTCATATGCATGTGTTGGTCAGTATTCAGGTGAATACCTGAGAGGGACTCTGTGCAGTCCTCTGGAGTTATCTCTCTGGGCAATTCCAGTACTTGTCCTGTAAACTCTAGCCACTTTAGTGTCTGCAGATCTCAGCTGAATCTTTTCAACTCAGGTAGTTTGGTGGGCTCTAACTATGTTCCTATTCCCTGCATCACAGTCTGGGAATTTTCTCAAGGCAGTAAGTTGGGGGCAACTGTAATGCTCACCTTGATTGTTTTACATTTCTCATGATTACTGTCTTTCATTACCTGTTGTCCAGTGTCTTGAAAATCGTTGTTTTATATATTTTGTCTAGTTTTTGGTTGTTTTAGGTATGTGTTTGGGGGAGCAGGAGTAGCAATAAATCCTGTCCTTGTTATTCCATCTTAGTTAAAAGTGGAAGTCTTTAGCTATTTGATTTTATCAATTTTTTTTCAATTTCTGCATTTCCTCTGAACTTAAATATCACATCTTAAAATTCAACCATATATTAAAATTTAATTAATTAATAAAAAGCTATTCTGATTGTGGAGGCTTGATGGTGCAGTGGGTAAGAGATCGGCTGCTAACCAAAAGGTCAGTGGTTCAAATCTACCAGCTGCTCCTTAGAAACTGTAGGGGGCAGTTCTGCTCTGTCCTGTAGAGTCGCAGTGAGTCTGAATCAACTCGATGGCAATGGGTTTGTTTTTGTTTTTTGGTTATTCTGATTGTAATGGTTTTTGTTGGGCCATCAATGGGGAAACATCACAACAGAGAAGGCTTATAATATGCTACCAACTGCAAATCAGACATTTTAGAGGAAGATCTACCACTTTCCAAATAGTATGCTACCATTTGTGATTCTGGGGATGAACGAGGGCAGAGAACGCAGAGACAATAAATATATCTTAAACAGAAGCATAATTTAACTTCATAAAATGCAGGTTGAATAATTGGGTCAATGATTTACTGGGTGCTTTTATTTCATATCACACAAGTACTAACAGAACACTCAGTAGATAGGCAGATGATGAGCAGTAGAAGAAAAATTCTCTAAAGAAGTAACAAGCAGTTTCTCAGATTTTAGTGTATCTAAGAATTAACTGCAGAGTTTGTTAAAAGTGCAGATTTACAGGCCAAACCCCAGATTTTAATTTAGTAGATTTTGGATGGCACCTAGGAATCTTCAATGAATTATTGAACAACCTGAGTGACACTTGTAAGAAACAGCGACTGCTGTGGAGTTAAGCTTCTCCTTATTTCTTATTTGAACTGAACTGCAGGGCAGAATGAATATTATTAGGGCAATCAAAGTGAAGGCAAGACCAAGCTAAGGTCCTTTAGCTTAGCTAAAAAGGTGGGTTCAAAAAGAAGCCTCTAGGATCAAGCTAAAAAAACCTGGGATTAGAATCTTGAAACCATCTAAGGTTTCAGAATAGGGGGATAATGATATGATAGTGATTTTTAAAGGAAGATTGATTTGATGGGATGAGTTATAAACTGGAAACCCAGTTAGAAGTTTTAAAATGAGTAGATAAATGTGAGTATCAATAAAATACTCACAATAGAAAATATCAGGAGTATTGGTAAAAAATATTGAACCTCCTTCCACATACCTAAGGATAGGCAGTTAAAATTATATACAACATTATAAACATAATAATAATATTAGCAATAAAAAAAAAATAATCTTTAGCAGGATTTTCAGATGTTACTTGCATGATTCTTGAAACTCCATAGGTGTTCAGCAGCAGTTTGTATTACCTAGAATTATTTTAAAGAGGTATTAGTATTCTAAATTGAAACAAATTCAACAATCTTTATAAATTAAAAACAGATCTCCTGTCTTCTCTGACACAGATGAAGCAGTTTGTGTTCCACAGCATAATTTTATTTATAGTTTCATTTACTATTTAAACAAATTTTGATTGTGAAAAATACAGGTTTAGTCAAGAAGGAAAGAAAATCTACTTCCCCTAAACTACAAATTAGAAAATGATTAAGGACCCAAGAGACATTTAGGTTAAAATGCTAAGGATATTATGGAGGGAGTAATTCTGGTTAGTAGGTTAAGAGTATAAAAATGTCAGACAAGATATAATTTGAACTGGGCTTGAAGGACAGGCAGGATCTGGACATAGGAGAAGAAAGGGTAGGGGAGAAGGAAAGAAATAGGCATGTATACAAAAATCTCATTAAGAGTTTCTTTTATATCAGAAGGTGTCAACAGCTTTTCACAGTTCATAAAAAAATTGGTAACTTGCAAAATGCTGCGAAAGCAAAACTAAAGGAAGATGATACTTCTCTACATTTATTCATTCCTTACCTTCCTTTAATGGGGTTTTGAGGGCAAAATTTTCTTTACTTTCATGATGAAAAGCCTTTGAAGGATCAAAGTGCTTGATACCCAGAACTTTATTCAATTCCTCTTGGAGTTTTGTCTCACTTTGTTTTTTCTTAGCAAGCTGAGAGCGGAGTTTTGACACTTCCTAAGCAAGAAAAAGGTAGACACTCAACAATTTATTAAACATCATGTTGGTGTTTGTCATTGACAAATTCCGAAGTTGCTTATGCATCAAACCTAATTGCAAGAATCACTACTATATCCAGGCCTTAATACTATGAATTACAAAATGATTTTGAAGAGCTTGACAAAGAAGAGAGTCATTTAGATCTTCTTGCTCCTCTACAGGTACAAATCTATGTTTATTGTAAAAGTGAACTCAAAATTAAATAGCTAACTATTTTTTAACACTGTTTATAACACTGTTTATCTTTATGATATATCTACATCAGGGACTTTGCTATTTCTATTTTGCAAATAGAGATGGATGTGTAATGCCTTATGAATTCTTCCAATTACACTAGTAATTTTCCATATACTAATGAGGTAGTTGGAAAACCTGAGAACACAGAATACCCTTCTGGTCAGTGCTCTAAAATATATCCACAACCCTGAGATGGATAAACTACCATTATTTTCTGATACCAAAGTCCTTTGTTTTACTTAACTATTATAAATAGGCTAATAAATCCCCTCACCAAATATTGTTAATAAAGCTAAATTTTATTTAACAAACCGATTTGAGCTGGCTATTTTCATCTTTCAATTTCACAACATGCTTGATTTTTTGCTTTAGATTCTGATGACCCAATAATTTAGCATACGAATCACTTAGTTTATTCAGCTGTTCCTGAGCTGCACCATGCTCATTCAGCAAAGCCTGTTTCTCTGCTTCAAATGCATCCAGTTGTAGCTGAAAAAGATTTTTTTACAAAGTTAAGACTTACAACTCTTAAGTCTTTCTTCTCATATAAGCCATAAAGAAAGCTAAACCATAGAAAATAAACCACAAACAAAAAACAAAGTATATTGACATATTCTCAGGGCTCTCAAGTTTCCTATGAAAATATTTTAAACTTTCTATTTTTATTTCAAAGATCATTAAAACAGAAAGAAAAAAAAGAAAAAGGAAGAAGAAGAGAGACTGTCTGGCAGCCAGTCTAAACTGTATCAGCTGGATGACCACTTTATAACTGAATACTGTACTTCTATTCTTTTTTAGTACCAAAATTAGCATTTAATCTTTTTTTTCTTTAAAAACATCAGCATGTTAATCTGAGAAATGCTGAGCTAGATCCTAACAAAATATAAATCACAAATTTACATAGATTAATTTATATCAGGAAAGTTCCGATCAGGAGAGCCTCCCAAGCTTTAACTTTAAATCCCTCATTAGAAGGAATTTTTTGCCCTAAAGGCTACATTACAAGATTTATGACAATAATTTAATAAACTATATAAGTCTTCTTTAATATGAAGTTAAACTGAATTGTAAATCCACTTTGAAATGATCTTTCAGAAAAACCTAGTCACTGTTATGACTGTAACAGGAAACAAAGTGAATTCAAAAGCAACCACAAGTAAGTTTAGTTCTGATTTATAAACCTGGAACGGTTTTGTTTTATTATACAGTTCTTCATAAAGGAGACGCCACTTATTAATTTCCTCAGTTAATTCTTCCACTGTATTTTCTTTTCCAGCTTTTCTGTAAGGGAAATTTAAATGACAATGAGTAATTAAGGAATGTAGTTATTAGAAAAAATAGCCTTACATGGTACTCAGGTTCTAAATCTAGATTACCTTGCTTCTTCTTCCAATTGTTTCTTAAAGTCTTCACCTTGTTGCTTGAGTTGGTTCTGCAAGTCAGTTATTTTTTTAAGAGAAGAAACTGTTATTTCTTTAATTTCTGCTTCTTTAAGTGCTGATTTGGTCTGCAGATCTAGAAGCATCCTTGGGTTTGAGAAAGAAGTGTCCATTAAACACTTATAGCGACTCTTTTTTCCTTCTTTCCTCCTGTTATGGATTGAAATATATGTATTGAAATCCTGGCCCCTAAACCTGTAAATATCCTATTTGGAAACAGGGTTTTCTTCATTATGTTAATCAGACCCTTTCTGAGTAGGGTGGGTTCTAAATCTAATCACTTTTGAGTTATAAAACACACAATGTGAGGATCCTCTATAAGCCAAAGAATGCCAAGGAACCAAAGAATGCCCGGGGCTACCTACAAGGAAGGAATCCACAGGGTAGAGGCCTTGATTTGGACATTTAGCCCCCAGATCTGTGAGAAAATAAATTTCTGTTATGTAAAGCCACCCACTTGTGGTATTTCTGTTATAGCGGTACTAGGTAACTAAGATACACCTCTTAAAAAGCAAAAAATAAAAACACACAAACAAAAAACTGAAGGAACTCTTGAATAATTGTAATTTTTAACTGAGTAAATTCTTAAATTGCAATTTAAGATTGCCAAAAGCAAGTCATGGGACTTCCATTCCCTGTATCACTTACTAGCTGGCTTGTAACAACATTGTTGCCTCAATGGTTTTCAATCTACAAGTGTGCTTTTGCTTTATTTCTTCTACAAACCTCGCATATTCTTGATTTGCGCTCTCAGTTGCTAAGATCTGATGTTGAACATCCTCTGTACATTTTTCAGCCTTGGCCACTTTTTCCTGTAGTGATGAGTTCTCCAGCTTAAGATCTTCTATCTCACTAGTTGTTAATGTTTTATAGCTTATTTAAAAAGAAAAAGAAAAAAGAAAAAAATCAAAGCAGCTTTTTAAATACTGAATAAATAACAAAACTACAGCTGAGGGTACGTCTTATCCACTTTAGGTGAAACATATAAAACCTTATAATATATTCTTGTATTTACACAGGTAAGAATTTAGTGTTCTGAGGTCAGTACTAACAAGCTTACATGCCAGGTATTCACTGTTCAAAGAAAAAAATCAAGTGCCTACTATGCACAGGAAGTATGCATACAGAGATGAAAAAATCAACTCTCAAACACAAAAATTATTCCAGAACTAAAAAAAGATAGCCCCTGCACTTAGTGTCAAAGAGTTTATGATATTGTTCAGAAGATCAGGAAATGCCTCACCCACTCCCCACAAGAAATGGATAACTATATAATTAAATTTCTGATAAGTGCTATGAAGGCAAAGCACTGAGTACTTTAAGCTGATAGAACAGGGGACCTACATTTTAGTTGATGATTCAGAAAAGGCCTTTCTGAGGAACTTATGTTTAAGCTAAGGCTTGATGTATAAGAAGCAGTCAGCTAGGCCATTAAAGGGAAGTATTTAAGAGGCAAAAAGAGGCATAAGCACTGAGAGGCAGGTAGAACACAGTCCATTAGAGGCAAGGCTACAGCCTAATGAATAGCAGAGGCAGGAATAGAGGTTACAGACAGGGGCCAGGTCATCACCATGGGGCAAAATGTATTTACCCAAGAGACAAAGGGGAGCCATTAAATGGTCTCTTGGTAAATGTGTGGATCATTCTGGAGATTTGTAGAAACTGGATTGGGAAGGGGCAGGAACAGATTGATTGGTCAAGGTGAGTGAAAAAGGAGACTTAGACTAAGAAAGTGGCAGTGGAGCCAGACTAATGGAGAAAGATGAGGGTTCTTTTGGAGGCAGAACCGAGAAATTCAAGAGATACATTGGATGCGAGGGGTAAGGGAAAGAAATTTATCAAGGATGACTCTAAGATTTGCAGAATGAGAAATTGGGAAGATGAAGATGTCATTGAGATTTAAAAAAATGAAAGACTAGAGATGGGAAAAGGTGGAAAAAGGATCAAGAGTTGTTTTGGACAAGTTAATATTCAATGCTAGTGACATACTACTGAATATATCACGGAGGCAGCTGGATATATAGGTGTGGAGGTCAAAAGAGAGGTCTTTTGAAGAAATAAATTGGAATGCTATTAGCATATTGATGGTAAATGACCTTTTAGAATGGATAAAAATCTCCTAAGGTACTATTTTTTAAAACTGTAAGTCATGATCCATCAGTGAAAAAGGAAATCACTTTAGAGGGTTGAGATCTTCAGAATGATCCACACATTTTAAACCAAAAAAAAAACCAAACCCATTGCCGTTGAGTCGATTCCAACTCATAGAGACCCTATAGGACAGACCTGAACTGCCCTATAGGGCTTCTAGTGAGCAGCTGATAGATCTGAACTGCCGACCTTTTGGTTAGCAGCCCTAGCTCTTAATCACTTTGCCACCAGGGCTCCACTTAGAGACCATTTAATGGCTCTCCTTTGTCTCTGAGGTAAATTCATTTTGCCTCATGGTAATAGTCCGGCACGTCTCTAATCTCTGTTCCTGCCTGATAAAATATGAACTAAATATTTATATACACACATATATAAATTATATATATATATATATATATATTACATATAACTTAGAATATATCATATCTAGGAACAGATCACTGGGAAAAAAAGGGTACTATTTAATAAATGGATATTAGGCAATTGGTTATCCATATGGGAAAACAATAATAAATTTAATTCCTACATCACTACACACACAGAAATCAGTTCTAGATGGAAATATGAAAAGTGAAACTTTGAAACTTTTATAAAAAAAAAGGAAAATATCTTTATGTCTTTAAGATAGAAAGTATTTCTCAAATGAGATATAAAAGTGCTCACCATGAAGACCTACAAATTTAATCACATGAAAATCCAGAACTTCCATTCATCAAAAGAACCCATAAGGAAAATGAAAAGCTAAGCCACATATGGGAGAAGATATTTGCAACCCATAAAGCTGACAGAGAACTCTACAATCAATGAGGAAAAGGTAATAACCCTACAGAGAAATGAACAAAAGTCCTAAGTACTTCACAGAAAGGGAAAGATGAATATCCTATAAATAAAATAAAAAATGTTTAACCTCACTAATAATAAAACAAAAAGCCAAACCCGTTGCCATCACATTGATTCCAACTCATAGTGACCTCACAGGACAGAGTAGAACTGCCCCACAGGGTTTCCAAGGAGCAGCTAGTAGATTCAAACTGCTGACCTTTTGGTTAGCAGCTAAGTTCTTAACTACTGCGCCACCAGGGCTCCATTAATGATAAAGGAAATGCAAATTAAGATCATAATTAAGAAGCCATTTTATACTTACTATATAGGCATAATTTAAGAATAACAAATTCTGGAGAAGTATAGCAATGAGAACTTATACATCACTATTGGGAGAGTAAATTCTTCATTCACTTTGTAAAGAGATCTGGCATTAGTTTTTTTTTAATTTTTACTCATTTTGTTGGTGAGAATATACATAGCAAAACATACACCAATTCAACAGTTTCTATGTGTGTAATTTAATGACAATAATTACACTCTTCGAGTTGTGCAATAATTCTCACCCTATTTTTCTGAGTTGTTCCTCCCCCATTAACATAAACTCACTGCCCCTAAGGTTCCTGTCTAATATTTAGAGTTGCTGTTATCAATTTGATCTCATATACATAGTTCTTAAAAGAGCATACTGCTCAAGGCAGACTTTTTCACTAGTTAAGCTAAACTATTGTTTGGTTTTAAGAAAATGTCAGGGAATATTTTTGGTTTAAGGTTAAAAGATTATCTCAGGGCAATAGTTTCAGGGATTCATCCAACCTTCATGGCCCCAGGAAATCTGGAGTCCATGATAATTTTAAATTCTGTTCTACATTTTCCCCCTTTTGGTCAGGATTCTTCTATAGAATCTTTGATCAAAATGTTCAGTAATGGTAGCCGGGCATCATCCAGTTCTTCTGGTCTCATGGCAAAGGAGGCAGCTCTTCATAGAGGCAATGCATTTCATATCCTCTTCCTATTCCTGACTCTCCTTCTTCCTCTGTTGATCCAGGTGAATACAGACCACTTGTTGTGCCTTGGATGGCCACTTGCAAGCTTTTAAGACCCTGTGCACTATGCAATGAACTAAGGGGCAAAAGCCTCAGAAGCTGCTCTCTGTTTTTGTTGTTGTAAATATATCCATCACAGAACTTTTGCCAATTCGACTTTTACAGGTGTACAACTGATTGACAGCAACTCCAATAATCAGATGTGCAACCCTACCCTTAATCAATGCAGAATTAACCCTTCCCCCCCCACCCCTTTTAACTACTAATAAAATTTGCTCCCTATACATTTGCCTTTTCTTGTCTTTTATATAAGTGAGGTTGTACAATATTTGTTCTTTTGTGATTAACTTATTTCACTCAGCATGTCTTCCAGCTGTATCCATACTGTAGCATGTATCAAGACTTCATTTCTCCTACTGGCTGAGTAGTATTCCATTGTATGTATGTACCACAATTTTTTTATCCATTCATCTGTTGTTGGGCATTTAGGTTGTTTCCATCTTTTGGCTTGTGAATAGTGCTGCAATAGACACGGGTGTACAAGTCTCTGAGTCTCTGCTTTCAAGTCTTTTGGGTATATACCTAGGAGTGGAATTGCTAGGTCATATGGTAGTTCTATTTTTAGTTTCTTGAGGAACCGCCACACTGTTTTCCAAAACAGCTGTACCATTTTGCATTCCTAACAGCAATGGATAAGGGTTTCAATTTCCCCACATCATCTTGGTATTAATTTTTAAAGTTGAATATTCACATACCTATATCATAGTGGTTAAAAGCTATGGCTACTAACCAAAAGTTTGGCAGTTCAAATCCACCAGCCGCTCTTTGGAAACTCCATGGGGCAGTTCTACTCTGTCCTATAGGGTTGCTATGAGTCGGAATCGACTTGATGGCAATGGGTTATAACCTTAAAGAAAATCTTACATGTTTGCACTAGAAGACTACAAGAATATTCATGAGTACTATTCATAATAACAAAAGAAATGGGAAACAACCCAAAAGTCCAAAGGGAGAATGGATAAATTGTGGTATATCCATACAATTGAATATACTATAGCAGTGACCATGAACAAATTATATCCTCATGCAACAACGTGATTCAATCCTAGAAATGTACATAATGCAGAGTGAAAAAGCAAGACTCCGGAAATGGCATACGTTATGATGGCATTTTTTGGTGAAGTTCTCCAGCAAGCATAATTAGATAATGTATTATTTGTATAAGGAGCCCTGATGGTGCAATGGTTAAGTGCTTGGCTGCTATGCTAACTGAAAGGTTGGAGGTTCAAACTTACCAGTGGCTCTACAGGAGAAAAGACCTGGTAATCTGATCCAGTAAAGATTATAGCCTAGGAAACCATTTGGGGCAGTTCTACTCTGTCATATATGGTCACAATGAGTTGGAATCGACTCCACGGCACACAGTGATTATTTATATGAATGCTCATGTTATAAAATTGTCATACACAGGAAATAAAGTGAGAAAATAATTAATGTAGGGTTCAAGATGGTGTTATCTCTTGGGGGAAGGCAGAAAGATGGGATAGTGGAGGAACGCTTATACAGATATTACATTGTTGCCAATTATTTGGTTTATTCGATTTCTTTCATGGGTTCTTGTGTGATGATTTTATCTTTATGCTTTATAGTTTATGTACATGTTGAGTAGTTTTTTGTACTTATTAAATATGGTATTAAAATAGATAGAAGAAAAATAGAGACCTCCCAAAAGATCTGAAACAAATATGATAAATAGAAATGTTAACATTAATTTACTCTTGCATTCAGATGCATAAGTATTTTTTATATTATCTTTTGCAATTTGCAGCCTCTCCTAAAAATAAGAAGAAAAAGAAAAAAAAAAGGAAAGGGAAAATAACTGGATAGGAAGGTGAGAAAGTAGATACAGTACTCAGACAATTTTTTATCAAGAGGATTGGCTATAAAGTAGAATTCTGAGATAAGAAGGGTGCGGGAAGTGAGAGTTGTTGGATAGCTGCAGAAGGAAGTTAAGTGGAAGGTCAAAGGAGGTTTTTTAAAAAATTATTTATGTATTTTAAAGATGAAGAACATATTTTAATATTCATAAGAATAATTCCAGTAGAAATTTTGAAAATTATTTGAGACGGGATAAATGATGGTGTAACGTCACTGAAGGTTAAAATGACTAGGACACTTCATCTGTAAGAAGTGAGAAGGATAAGCATAAATGCAGGTGAGTTCATAGGTTTGATGATGATAAAGACTTCTGCGTTCTTTATGGGGAAAATGAACATGTAAGAATAGGAAAAGCACAAGTATTCAAGGCTTGGGAGTCCACAAAATTTGAACTGGACAGTGGGAAAGGTAATGTAAAATGGCCATTTATGGTTGATCATTATGAATTTAAAATAACACCAATCTTCCTATTTGTGTAATTGTTTTGTTCACAATTTCCCTAGGTAACCACCCCCCCCAGCTCCCATTACATTTGGGAATGTGGGCTCCCAAGAAAAATACCTTTCCAATTGAGCAGTAACATCTCCAAGGTTTTGTACTGTACTATCAAGCCTTTCCTGCAAAAGCAGGGTGGCCTGAGTGTGAGCAGCATTACTTTTCTCCAGTTCAGCTTCCTTCCTATGAAAAAGAAATAAAAGATAAAATGTGAACTGCAAACCATTAACCTAAGAAAGATATTAATATTTACCTTTGACACTGTTAATCATAACTTATATTCACCTTTGCATTAGGTGCTGAAAAACTTAGATGTAAATATATGACCTACCTCTAATAGCATGTTTTTTAATGTACTAACTTTACTAATTGCTTTATACTATCTTTTCTGCTATCCTTTTGCTTTTGTTTTCTTCCTAATTTACTTATTTCTAAATTTATTTTTTCATGTCATATGTATTTATATAGGTAGTTTAAAAGGTGGGGTGGGGGGGAAGGTAGGGTAGAAACACCCTAAAATAGAATGTTAACACCTGCAGCCAAGATTAAAGAATGCAAAGGATTACCAGCAAAAAAGTACTTGGATTGAATAAAATTTAGTTCCCTGTATTTAAACATTTAAGAAGAACTAGGTACAGTTAAGGAGCCCTGGTAGCACAGTGGTTAAGAGTTTGGCTGCTAACCAAAAAGTCAGCAGTTCAAATCCACAAGTCGCTCCTTGGAAACCCTATGGGGCAGTTCTACTCTGTCCTGTAGGGTCACTATGAGTCAGAACCAACTTGACGGCAATGCGTTTGGTTTTTTGGTTAGGTACAGTTAAAGACACTTCATTTTAATGAGAAGCTAATTTGCTGTATAAACTTTCATCTACAGCACAATTAAAAAAAAAAGGCAACAACAGTAAATACTATAACATATACAATCCTGCAAAAACAGTAGTAACCAGTAAGAAACTATGAGTGGAAACAGAGGTAGACAGGTATGCTGAATAGGTGTGGGAAGATGTATGGGAGTACACCCACATGCATATATAGGTTTGGCTGTGGATATTTCTACATATGTATTTGTATGTCCTGCATGTATATTCATATATATAATAGAGCACACAGGGGGCACAGTCATGGAAATAACCTAGACACAACCACTCCCCATGGGACTGAGCTACTGGGCCCGAAAGCTAAGGACCATAGTATCGGGGGACATCAAAGTCAATTGGCATAATGTAGTTCATTAACACAACGTTCTATATCCTACTTTGGTGAGCAGCATCTGGGGTCTTAAAAGCGTGCAAGCGGCCATCTAAGATACAACTATTGGTCTCTTTCTATCTAGAGCAAAGGTGAGTGAAGAAAACCAAAGACTCAAGGAAACAATTAGTCCAAAGGACTAATGGACCACAGGAACCATAGGCTCCACTAGCCTGAGACCAGTAGAACTAGATGGTACCCGGCTACCACTACCAACCACTCTGACCAGGATCACAATAGAAGGTCCTGCCTAGAGTAGGAACAAAATGTAGAACAAAATTCAAATTCACAAAAATGACCAGATTTACTTGTCTGAGAGAGACTGGAGGAGCCCCATAGACTATGACCCTTAGACATCCTTCTATCTTGGAACTGAAGCCATTCCCAGAGATTACCTTTTAGCCAATAGATAGGCCTATAAAAGAAATACAGCTAGAATGCCCCCTAGAAGCAAGGGTGGTGAGACTTCGTCTCGCATACTTTGGACATGTTATCAGGAGGGACCAGTCCCTGGAGAAAGACATCATGCTTGGTAAAGTAGAGGATCAGTGAAAGAGAAGAAGACCCTCAATGAGATGGATTAACACAGTGGTTGCAACGATGAGCTCAAGCATAGCAATGACTGTGAGACTGGTGCAGGACTTGGCAGTGTTTCATTCTGTTGTACCTATAGTCGCTATGAGTCAGAACCAACTTGATGGCACCTAACAGTATCAACAAAATAAACAATAACACCTGTGAGGAAAGTGCTTCTTAAAACAACCATCTTTATGAGACAAAAGGGCAACATCGGCCCAAAAGCAAAGATGAGAAGGCAGGAAGTTACAGGAAAACTGGACGAATGGAAATGGGGAACTCAGGGTGGTAACAGGGAGAGTGCTGACATATTGTGGGTCTGCAACCAATGACAGGGAACAATTTGTGTATAAACCATTAAGTGGGAAACTAATTTGCTTTGTATACCTTCTCCTAAAACACGATTTAAAAAAAAATAGGCAAAGGATATGGACAGACACTTCACCAAAGAAGACATTCAGGTGGCTAACAGACACATGAGGAAATGCTCACATCACTAGCCATTAGAGAAATGCAAATCAAAACTACAATGAGATATCATCTCACCCTGACATTACTGGCATGCATCAAAAAAACAAACAAAAAAATAAATGTTGGAGAGGTTGTGGGGAGATTGGAACTCTTATATACTGCTGGTGCGAATGCAAAATGGTACAATCACTATGGAAAATGATATGGCACTTCCTTAAAAAGCTAGAAATAGAAGTACCATTCGGTCTGGCTATCCCCCTCCTAGGAATATATCTTAGAGAAATAAAAGCCATCACACACGAATAGACATATGCACGCCCATGTTCACTGCAACGTTATTCACAATAGCAAAAAGATGGAAACAATCTAAGTGCCCATCAACAGATGAATGGATAAACAAACTATAGCACATACACACAATGGAATACTATGCAACAATAAAGAATAATGATGAATCTGTGAAACATCTCACAACATGGATGAATCTGCAGGGCATTATGCTGAGTGAAATACGTCAATCACAAAATGACAAATACCGTATGAGACCACTATTATAAAAACTCATGAAAAGGTTTATCCACAATCTTTGATGGTTACGAGGGATGGGAGGGGTGGGGAGGGAAAAACACTAACTAGACAGTAGGTAAGTGGTAACTTTGGTGAAGGGTAAGACAGTACACAATACTGGGGAAGTCAGCGCAACTTGACCAAGACAAGGTCATGGAAGCTTCATAGATGCATCCAAACTCCCTGAGAGACCGAATTACTGGCTGAGGGCTGGGGACCATGATCTCGGGGGACACCTAGCTCAAGTGGCATAACACAGTTTATAAAGAAAATGTTGTAAATCCTACTTTGGTGAGTAGTGTCTGGGGTCTTAAAAGTTTGTGAGTGGCCATCTAAGATACTCCACTGGTCCCACCCTGTCTAGAGCAAGGAAGAATGAAGAAAATGGAAGACACAAGAGAAAGATTAGTCCAGAGGACTAACAGACCACAACTACCACAGCCTCCATCAGACTGAGTCCAGAACAACTAGATGGTGCCCAGCTACCACCACTGACAGCTCTGATAAGGATCACAATAGAGGGTCCCAGACAGAGCTAAGGAACAATGTAGAACAAAATTCTAACTCACAAGAAAAGACCAGACTTACTGGTCTGACAGAGACTGGAGAAACCTCAAGAGTATGGCCCCTGGACACCCTTATAGCTCAGTATTGAAGTCACTCCTGAGGTTCACCCTTCAGCCAAAGATTAGACAGGCCCATAAAACAAAACGAGACTAAATGGACACACCAGCTCAAGGGCAAGGACGAGAAGGCAGGAGGGGACAGGAAAGCTGGTAACACGAAATCCAAGGTCGAGAAGGGGAGAGTGTTGACATGTTATGGGGTTGGCAACCAATGTCATGAAACAATATGTGTATTAATTTTTTAATGAGAAACTAGTTTGCTCTGTAAACCTTCATCTAAAGCACAATTAAAAAAAAAAAAAAAGTCCATGGGGGCGTGAGGGAAGACACTTCATTTTAAAAGTTATTTTGAAAAAGCTATAGGACTATATGGATTTAATTATATAAACGACCTATATAATAAATTGTTATTCAAAGATTTAACAATCTATTTAATATGTAATTATTACTTTTCATAGATAGAACAGCTTTTAAGTCACCTTTATAAATATTGCAAATATCAAAGATCTTTGAAATATCACTAAAAATATCACCAAAGTTGTTATAAATTTTTAGATAAGCGTAAGAGCTTGTGTGAAATCTTTTAAAGAACAGATAAAGCTAAAAAAGATAAATAAGCATTATTCACTTAAAAACTAAGTTGGACATTAATATAAGATAAACAGAGCTGATAAAATTTATTCTGTAATGAGTATGGCATTTCTAAAACACACATACCACAATTAAAAAACAATCAAATAGTACTAAAGGGCTTATATTAAGACTGCTTCCTTCTCTGCTTCCCTCAAGAGTCACTTACAATTCTTTTAGTTGTTTTTTTCCTTAAGCCTAAAATTTTTAGGCTGGAAGGAACTTTTGAGATCATCTCATAAAACTCCTTTATTTTACATCTAATGAATTAGAAAATTAAAGAAGTTAACATTGTCTTCTTCAGGATCACACAAATAGTTTACAGATCTAGGAATAAAATCCTTCTCTCCTGACCTTTGGACCCGAGTTCTCTGAGTTGACTCTTTCAACTTTCGTTCTTCTCTGAAACTGTCACCATTCACTCAGTATCTTAAGGCTCCTTTCCCCCAAGACTGGCTGGAGAATAAAACAACCCCCCAATTACACTTTTGTACTGTCCCCAAACAAGCAGGCATATATAAAACCTTGGTGTTCTTTTTCATCACTAATCACCACAAAAAATAACAGAAAAGGGATTAATACAAAAGTATGCAATAAGGGATAGCGCCATTGGTGTGAGAGACATTACAATCCTGTAGGCTTCTGCCTAGTCTATGGCTCCTTGCTAGAAAAATTTTTAGTGATGCAATCTCAAGGATTTTAATAACAGAATTCATTATATTATTTACAATTTGCACTCCAGAATCAAACCTGATCTTTGAATTTAAATGTAGTAGAAAAGGAAGGATAGTATGATGGAACTAATATGGAACTAGAGTTAAAAAAAAAAAAAAAGTAATGAAGATTCAGTCTACTTTAAAGGACAAATTCCTTATTTTTGAAGTTACAGTTTTTTTTAAAGAATAAGATTTGGTGATTTATGAAGATTACTTTCTCCTAAAACTTTGTGAGATCTTCATTTAAAAACTTTAGAGTTTTTTGGTTTCTTTCTTCCTTTTCTCAGTTCTAATAATTTTTTTTTCCATTTTGCTTTTTGATTACTGCTTTTGAAGTGTTTGTCCTTCCTCAAAAAAAAAGATAACTTGAAGGCATAACTTAACACGTTGTAAACTGATATACATATATAGACACAACATATGGAAGCAGTGATTTACTAAAGGGTGGGATCTTAGTTTTATGTGTTTTTTTCTCAAATCATTATTGCTGTGATGTCTAACAATTTTTAGAAAATGTAAGAGGAGCAGCAAGGAAGCTAAAAAGTTGGGTCATTTGTTTATTAAAGTTCTTGTTAATTAAACCTCTGGCCTTAAGGGCCTGGCTTCTAACTTTGGCTCTCCTACTTGTTTGTCTTAACTCCTGGGCATTTAGTTTATTTCTGTATTTATTCCTTAATTGTAAAAGAATGCCAACCTCAACCACTCCCATGACTGACATGAGAATTCTGAGAGAAGGTACTAGGAAATACTTTGTAACATTTGAAGTCATGTATCATACCAGGTTCTATTAACACAAACCCTTTTAGCTTTTCTTGTAGGAATCTTAGTTCTTCAGCTTTAGACTTTGTTTCCTCTTCCAGTTGCTTGACTAGCCTTTCAGCTTCTTCCTCTCTTTGCTGTAATTCATCTAATTCACCCAGTGCTTGTTTTAATTCTTCTTCAAAGATGTTCCTCTCTTTAATCATTTCCTCTTGAAAAGAACACAGTTTCTGCTGAAGACTACATGATAATTCCTATGTCCAAATAGAAATCCATCAAAATAATTTTAAATGGCATTTGAAGTTTTACTGAGGGACAAAAAAGAAGTACAGATACTGAAGCACGAAAACTAAATTTAAGGGCTTCATTTTCTCATGAATTATATCTTACACCTTGTTAACACTGTGGTAAATATCATTTCAGTCTTCGCTCTAGGCAGCATACACACAGAGTCCTTCGAAAATTAAAGTCACATTTTACATCTGTTTTACAACTGGCTGCTATCTCATAATATACTTTTCTTACACAATATTACATAAAAATTGGACTGTGATTTCACTGCTATATACAAATATTTTTAAGTTATATAATATACAAACACATTACCAATTAAAAATACTTACAACATTACAAAAACAGTGAAAATAACCCAGTTCTCCCATTTCAGGGATAAGCACTAGTTTAGTATATCTATGCTCTGGTCTTTCCTATATGCTTAAATACACATACATTTTGGATGGGATATAAATGATATTTACTCTTTGTATGTAAAGGTTACTTTACAAAATCATAAAAATAGGTGTTCTCATCTGTCCAGGTTAGTATATATCCAGATCTAATTCGTTCTTTTAATTGTTGCAGCATCCCCAACAGTATAATACTTTACACCAGTGCTTAAGAGTACGTTTGCCCAACTCTCATCAATGTGTTATATTACAAAACGTTTCAATTTGTGTAAATCTTTAAGTGAAAAAGTTATTTCCATTTACTTGATTACTGTCTTTTCTTGTATATAGGCTACCTGGATTCCACATCTGAGAACTGCCTGTTTTCATCCTCTGCCCATTTTTTTATAGTGGATTTTTTTTCTTAGTGATATGTAAAATGTTCTTTACATAATCTGGATTTTAAAAATCTGTTTTGTTCTTATATCATTAGACACTTTTCTACAATGTAATTATTAATGCCTATATAGTAAGTAATCTGGAGCTCTGGTGGCACCCTGGTTAAGAGCTTAGCTGCTAACCAAAAGGTTAGCAGTTCAAATCTACCACCTGCTCCTTGGAAACCCTATGGGACAGTTCTACTCTGTCCTGTAGGGTCGCTATGAGTCAGAATCGACTTGACAGCAACAGGTTTGGTTTTTTTGGTGGGTTTATATAGTAATCTATCATAAGAATGGGCCTTGAAATTATTAAAAAATGATATGCCTATTTTGTGGCATCTGGTGTTTGTAATTTTTTTCACGTTATCAACAACCCTGTGGTGAACATCTTTGTAGCTAAACCTTTAGCATACCTATAATTATTTTCCTTAGGATATAATTCTAAAAATAGAATTGTTGGATCAAATGATACATATAATTTAACGGTTTTTGTAGATATATATAGAAATTTATGACATAAAATAAGCACTGTTGTTTGTTTTTATTTTGGTAGTAAATTACCTTCTCTTGTTGCAGAAGTGAATCAATTTGCAACTCTTTTTGTTGTAGCTTTTCATGTTCTTGTCTTTCAAGAATAAGCTTCTCTTTTAAGTTTTGTATCTCAGCATTTAGATTTTCAACTTGTTCTCTATCCCGGATGACAAGATCATCTATAAAAGGGAAAACATTAAAAATACTGTAACTAGATACTAATACCAACTTTGAGAAACCCAGACTCCCATAATATTCCATTATATTGCTTTTAGCAAGTTGTTAAGTGTTTCCAAAGACGGTGGGAATCCTAACTCTGAAGTTTGTACATTTAATGAATACTAAAGAATCATTTTGCATTAAATTATTGAATCAACCAAAGCTAATAAGTTAGAAGTTATTAATTTAGTCTAATTGGGAAGTCAGAATTATAGAATCTTTGAAAGTACCATTTAATATATAAACAGAGGAGAACCAAACAAGAGATGTATTAAGAAAAATAATTTAGTCAAGACCAAACAAGTATAGAAATTCTTAAACAAACAGTTAAAGTCTTAAATGTAGATGAGCCTAATTAGGGTGAGTGGCATTCAGGAAACTTGTTAAGTTTCACTACTATTGTTTAGCTGAGGGATTCTTTCTTATCCTCTAAGAAAGAATAAAAGTGAGCCTAATCCAGAATCTAAATTAGTTATACTGACATACAGTTGTAGAATGGTAATTTAGACAAATATTTAACAAGATCACAGGTTCTAGAATTTAATGAAATTCCCAAACCTAGTTCCACATATCTAACAACTATAAATGGCCACCTAGTTGGGAAGTTGAGAACTGTACCACTGTATATATTTCAATCAAGACAAGCTATACATTGACATAAAGAGAGCAAACATTATAATAGTCAAAAGCTTTAATATATGGAACAGGATTTTTTGCTATTTGGATAATTATAAAAATGTGTTTTAACCTAGCAAAACTTTTTTTTCTCTTAATTGTGCTTTAGGTGAAAGTTTACAGCTCAAGTTAGTTTCTCGTACAAAAATTTATACACACATTGTTATGTGACCCTAGCTGCTATCCCTATAATGTGACCACACATTCCTCATTTCCACCTGGGATTTCCCGTGTCCATTCAACCAGCTCCTATCCCTTTCTGCCTTCTCATTTTGCCTCCGGACATGAGCTGCCCATTTAGTCTCATGTATCTACTTGAACTAAGTAGCACACTCTTCACGAGTATTATTTTATGTCTTATAGTCTAGTCTATTCTTTGTCTGAAGAGTTGGCTTCAGGAATGGTTTCGGTTCTGGGTTACCACAGAGTCCGGGGACCATGTCTTCTGGGGTTCCTCCAGTCTCAGTCAGACCATTAAGTCTGGCTTTTTATTAGAATTTGAGCTCTGCACCCCACTTTTCTCCTGCTCCGTCAGAGACTCTGTTGTGTTCCCTGTCAGGGCAGTCATTGGTGGTAGCCAGGTACAATCTAGTTCTACTCTCAGGCTGATGCAGTCTCTGGTTTATGGGGCCCCTCTGACTCTTGGGCTAATATTTTCCTTGTGTCTTTGGTCTTTTTTCATTCTTCCTTGCTCCAGGTGGACTGGGACCAACTGACGCATCTTAGATGGCCACTCACTAGCTTTTACGACCCCTGACACCACTCACCAAAGTGGGCTGCAGAACATTTTATTAATAAACTTTGTTATGCCCATTGACCTAGATGTCCCCTGAAACCATGGTCCCCAGGGCCCTGCACCTGCTACACTGTCCCTCAAAGTGTTTAGTAGTGGTCAGGGAACTTCTTAGCTTTTGGTTAAGTCCAGTTGTGCTGACTTCCCCTGTACTGTGTTGTCCTTCCCTTTACCTGAGATAATTCTTGTCTACTATCTAGCTAGTGAATTCCCCTCTCCCTCCCTCCCCACCCTTGTAACCATCAAAGAATGCAAAACTTTATTTTTTCTTAAAAATTGTATGTAGTACTTATTTAAAGACAGTGATAGTAGAAACACTAATACCTTTTTCTTTTTCAAGCAGCTGACATCTAGCATTCAGGTCTTCTACTTGTTTAGATAACATAACAGCGTTTTCCTCAAGAGACTGCTTAAGGTTTAAAACTTCATGATTCTTCTCTTTTAAATTTTCTTCTAACTGGGCAATATCTACCTTGTATTTTTCCACTTCATCTGATGCACAACTGCATTAAAAAAATTATTGTGAATACTGCATATATTTAGGCACAGGGAAAATTAACCAAAAAATGATGAAAATACTGTATTCATCACTGTTCAACAAAATAAAGTCCAACTTAAAACTATTATTCATATTACCTAATTTCTTCAATGTATTCTAAGAGTTTCTCTGTTTCAGATTTTTCATCAATCTTTTCTTTTTCTACAGAGACACTAAAAAAAAAAAAAAAATTACATATATTAATACATACTAGTTTACTTATTTAATAATCACATATAATGCTTACTATGTACCAGATACTGTTTTATCAGGCAGGCTGGCTGCAAAGTCTAAACTCTTAACCACTATTTTTGTGAATTTTCAAGTTGGTAATTTATATGTAAATTATATGTAAACAGGAGACAAGTGAGAAGGCTTTCAAACATATTTTGTTACAAGGGCACTGATGATGTGTGTCATCATCTATAATAGTATAGGTATTATAATCTTTTTTGTAACTTCCTGGTTTTCCCCACCCACCACACATAAAAAATAGCATTTTGTGTGCTATTAAAATCTTTGTACCAGACTGACTTTTGTTCAGTTATTTATGTATTCATCTCCTCCATTAGGTAATGGCCTCCTCGAAGACAAAGGCCACTCACCCTGCTTCATCACTGTGCTCCTCATAACACCTGGCATATGGAAGATAAACGCAAGAGTTGAACATTTATAGCAGTATAAAATAAAAGTTTGAGAAATATTGAACAGAAAGGGGCTAATTCTTGATATTTGTCAGCACTAGGTCAAAGAAGCACTGTCCTTGTGTGTACATTTCTATTCTAGAAATTAAGGTTCCAATCAAAACCCTAAGCCCTTCAAATGAAGATGTACGACAGGTTAAGAACATAAAAGTGGAATAGGAAAAAAAAAAAGCAATGAAAGACGTCAAAATTGAAAAGAAAGAAGTAAAACTGTTGTTAATCATAGAAAACATGATTGTTTATGTAGAAAAACTCTTGAAAGCCACAAAAATAAAAAGTCCAACTGTTATTTTTAAGAAGCAATTCAATGGAGAAAGGAGAGTCTTTTTATAAATGGAGCTAAAATATCCAGATATACTAATGCAAATAGATCACAGACCTTAATGTAAAATGTAGAATCATAAAGCTCTGGGAAACCAACTTAGAATATCTTCACTACCTTGGGGGTACAGAAAGATTTGGAAAGAACATAAAAATAATACTGATATAAAATAAGAAAATCAGTGAATTAGATATTGTCAAAATAAAAATATCTGCTCATCAGAAGATACCATTAGGAAAAAAAATAGGTAAGCCTGGAAAAACTACTGGGATATATTAGAAAACACTGGGGGGAAAATTCACAATCATATATCGGACAAAGTAATTGTGTCTAGGATACATATATAATGAACTCCTAAAAGTCAATAATAAAAAGACAGCCCAATTTAAAAAATGGATGAGAAACTTAAACAGACACCTTACAAAAGGAAATACATGAATGGTTAATAAGCACATGAAAAGATGGTCAGCATCATTAGTAATAAATTAAAATCACAAATGAGATGCCACTTCACATCCACTAGAAAGGCTAAAATCAATTAGACGGGCAACATCAAATGTCAGTGAGAATGTGGAACAACTGGAACTGTTACACACTGCTAGTGGGAATGTAAAATGGTACAGCCACTTTAAACAACTATTTGGCAATTTCTTAAAACGTTAAATTGCCCTATGACCCAGCAATTCTACTCCTCGATATTTACCCAAAATAAATAAAAAACATATGTCCACAAAAAGACATACAACATGCTCATAGCAGCTTCATTCACAAGTCGGAAACTGGAAATGGTCCAAATATTCATCAACAGGAATACAGTAAACAAACTGAGTTATACGCATAAAACAGAATACTACTCAGAAATAAGAACAAATTATAGTACTAATAAAAGCATGGATGAATCTCAAAAAATTATGTGATACAAAAGTGACATATACATATAGACAAACACACACAAACTAATGATATGATAAACTTCCAAAAAAGGGGAAAAACTATGACAGAAGTTAGAAAGTGGTTATGGGATAGGGAGAAAGTATTCAGGGAGCAGGGGAGGAGTAGGAAGGGGCAAGAAGGTACTTTCTAGAGGAATGGAAATGTTCTTTATCTTGTTTGGGTAGTGGATACAGAGATGTATACAATTGTCAAGTCATCAAACTGAATACTTAAGACCTGTGCATTTTATTGTGTGTAAGTTATAGCTAGATACTAAAAAGAAGGCTAGGAACATGCATTAATCACAACTTCCTATGCCAGTATTTCTCAATTCTGATCTACCACCTCCATAAGTTTACATCAGAGAGATCAATGCCTTTCCTCTTTATTAATATAAAAGATGTACAAAAGGAATACATTCATACAACTTTCCAACATAAAACGTTTGGGAGTGATTAGGACTGGTCTGCTACTCAGGATGAGAAACAGGACAATGAGAGGGAGGCAATGAGGTAAGTATTGAGAGAAAGTTAAAGTCTAGGTAAACAACTAGCTGAGAGGCAAATCGAGAATTATTTATACTTAATAGTTTCTCTTTCCTTTTAGGGACTTACAGTTTCCCCTCAAGTTGTGCTATTTTCCCCTGAGATTCCTGAAGATTCCTTTGGGTGACCTGCAGCTTCATCTCCATACCTTCTTGTTTAGCCATCATACTCTACACAACAGAGATATATGTTTTAGGAGGTGAGAAAATGTTCAGATGCCTAGATCCAGACTCAGCAAATTCACCAAAGGTATCACTCACCCTCATCTTTGTTTCTCTTTTGTTTCTTAGTTTCATCAACTCCAGGCTTAGAATTTTCATATTCTTCTGGTTACCATCTTCAGAAAACTAGGTACAACAAAGAAGTAAAAAAATTTTCTGCTGAGTCATAGATGAAATTCATTAAATATTGATTATTCTACCTATTATTGGAGCTATAACTAGCCTGCAATACACTTTGGTAGAGAAAACAGTCTTTGACCAATACCACAATTACTGAGTGCACATTACTGTTCTTGTCCCTCCTTTTCCTTAATGTGACCTTTTTTTTTAAAGGTAGCCTGGGTAGTCACTACCTCTATGTGCTGGAGACTCTGCTGCAAAATTTTGAAACAAGCCTCTTGGGGAGGATTTCTTGAAGGGTGTTTGCTTAACAATGTGCATCTGAGTCACCTGGAATATCTTTGAAATACGTAGATTATAGGGTCCATCTCAGGCCTTCTAAATCGGAATCTCCCTGGTGGAGCCTAGGAATCTGCTGCTCCCTTCCCCATGTTTGGTTCTTATGCATCCTAACTTTTAACGATTAAAGATGTATGCATCCACAAAGCACTGCATCCTTACACCCTAACCCTAACTTCTGTTCAAAACAGGCAGTGCTGGAAACGGTATTTATAAAAGCCAAGGACTGTGATCCTGCTCATTCCAAAAAGGTGATTAGTAATTCTAGTTGCTAATATTTATTGAATACTGTACTCAGAGCATCCATGGATTGTCTCATTTTGTCTTTATAATAATCCTATGAGGAAGGTTCTATCATCCATATTTACAGATGAGGAAATTGAAGCAGAAAAGGTAAATAACTTGCCCATGGCCACACAGCTAGTAAGTGGAAGAGGCAGAAATTCACAGTCCCGGCATAGCCCAAACAAGTTTGGAAAGCCGGCAGTCCTATTAGATATGTACAGTACTCACTTTAAGTAAATTTCCTTCCTCTAATCCACGACCCCTAGAAGAAGAAAGGTTTTACAGCATGCTTCTGATTTTCTTGTATCTAAATTGTGGTTAATGCCAATATGCGTATGCAACACAAATCAATTCTTTCCTTAGCAGGAGATTAAAAATCCTATTCAAATTGTACCATCTATCCCTCCTCTCTAGAAATACTCTCACAGCAAAAGAGATGATACAACAACACATTAAAATTATGGAATCCTAATAAGTCTTAGTAAAGATACAATTCATATTTGTTGGGCGTAGAGGTGGCAGAGGAGCTAGATTTCATCTGGTGGCCAGACACCAAGCCACTGACTGCTTAAAATGGCTTTCACTAGTAAACATCTTGCTAGGTGGCATCAGCAATTCCTGCCTCCAGTGCTTGACACCTACACTCTATAGTCAAAGGGGGGCAGCTTTATATTTTTAACATTATAAAGCAGAAGTGCTTACTCTGATTTCTACAGCCCATTAAAGAGTATGGCGATAGCCTGTAATGGGCTTATAAACCCCGTAAGACCACACACACATTTTCCTGTTTTGCAAATGTGGGTATTTCTGGAGAAAGGCTTCTTAAGGGTATATGATATTCTAAAGTTTAAGTCACTAGAAAGAAGTCTGACAAAGTGGTTGAAGTCAAGACAGAGACAATTCAGCTACTTACTAGCTGTGAGACTGTGTAAAGTTATTCCACCACTCTCATTCTCCCTAAATGAGATACCCAATTTTAATGTTTTCTACAGTTCTGAGTCAGCAGTGCTGTACAAGGAATAATAGACTCCTCTCTAGTTTTACGTCCAACCAATCAATAAAGCCTTATCTATTTTACTTTTTCAGTGTCTCTTTGGTCTGTTTCTTCATCTTCATTGCCTTGGTTCTAACCTTTGCTTCTCACCTGATTATTTCAATAAGTTTATGTCTCTTTGCTTCCATCTCTCTTAAATCTATCTCTCTCATTTGAATCCCAAGACTAGCTAAAATGCTTTATCCTGTCACTCCCTTATCTGTCACATTTTATACTCCTGCAATGTCAAAGCCAATGGTAGGTCTACAGACATGTTAAATATTTCACGTCTCCATGCCTTTGTATGGCATTCTCCCTTGAGAAATTGGCTCCATCCCCCAACTCATACTCCTTTATGAAAACCCTGTTCAAGTTATCATCTGCTCAAAAGTCTTCCCTGACTGTCCCCTATTCCCTTTGTAAGCAGAGTCCAGCACATTACAGGTCCTGCATAAATGACTGTTTAAATTAAACTGAGTAGTGATTTATATGCTCCCTCTACTTCCATAACAAGCAGGATGACTATGTTAACCCTCTAAGATCTATTAGGATGTTAATATTGATAATCCCAGTTTATCTATTGAATACATTTAGTCCACCAATTTATTCATTTCCCATATTATTACCAAAATGATTTGAGATGGAAGCCTGCTGTTATGCTACTATTTATTTCAGAGAAAGATCTTTAATGTGACTTCTAGATACAAATTCTGTGATTTTATTAATGGTCTTATATGTTGGGGAAGACTTTGAGGGATGGTAAGGAAATATCAGACATTAAAATAAAGTCACGTGTTTGTTTATAACTTCTTATGTTCCAGGTACCATAATAAAAAAGATGAAATAATACCTCCTATTTGAAGCAGCTTCACATTTAAGAGGGGCCCTGGTGGCACACTGGTTAAGCATTTAGCTGCTAACCAAAAGGCTGGCAGTTCGAATCCACCAGCTGCTCCTTGGAAACCCTATGGGGCAGTTCTACTCTGTCCTATTGGGTTGCTATAAGTCAGAATAGAGTCAGTGGCAACAGGTTTGGTTCTTTTTTTTCTTTTGTAACATTTAAGATACATTTAGAGAAGGAACAGAGCTAAATTAGAGCCTAAAATTCCCAAACAACTGTAATGAGAAAAAACACATTTATTATTTATTCAAATGTAAATGTTATCATGAGGTTCAAATACCTTAGATTTTAAAAGTTCGTTAGTCCTGGTTAATTCAATAAGCTGTTTTTCCAGTGAAGCATTATTTGCAGAGAGAGAAGTTTTTTCCCTGACTGCAGCATTTAGCTTTGCTTCCGTCTTCTCAAACTCAGCTTCCAGATCCTGGATCCGCTTGTCCTGAGCACCACGTTCTTGCACAAGAACACGAATCTGGATGAAAACAAGGTGATAAATAAATGATTTACAGATAATAATGCCAACATAAATAGATGATATTGATAATTAAAATGTGAAAGCTTCTAAGTATCTGATTTTTACATTATGCCCTTATACAGTCTAATTTTACTAGCCGTTTGGACAATCGTAACAATCTTATGATACATCTTAAAATATGTTTGCATTTTAAAACAGAAAGATTTGAATTGCCATAAACTTCCAGGTGCAACTAAGATGTGTATTCACTTTAAGGTAGTTCTAACTAAGAGTTCTTGTTTTCTATAGTTTTAATTACATAAATTCAAATTAAAGTTTGAAATATTAAACTTTTTTTTTTCAAGACGGCAGAGCTAGACGTCTGGGTAGACTTCAGTAGGCATCAGCAATCCCTCCTACTGCTACCATTAGGAAAAAATAAACTACAAAAAAAAAATTCTTAAACACATCGGATATTTGTGAAGAAGGACTAGATCAACTAAAACTCCAGAGAGAAAAAGAACCCTTCCTAAGAGAGTCAAGATCTCCAAATGTTTAGTCTCCAGGTTTTTCAAACTGTTAGCTGGAGGTTCAAGTCCAGCCAGAGGAGCCCTAGAAGAAAGGCCCGGAGAGCTACTTCCAAGAAATAAGCCACTGAAAATTCTGTGGAGCACAGCTCTACTCTGAGACACATGGAGTCACCATGAGTTGGAATTCACGCCATAGCAACTGGTATGTTTATAAGATATGCACTTCAAATATATGAATACAGATAGATTGACAATGAGAGAATCAAAAATGATTTACCATGCAAATACTAACCAAAAGAAAACTGGTGTGACTGCATTAACATCATACAAAGTAGATTTTAAGGCAAAAAGTATTTATAGTGATATAGAGGGAATTTTAAAATGATGAAAAGGTAAATTGAATCGGACGACATAATCTTAAATTTATTGTGCACCTAACAATGACAATGCAAAGCAAAAACTGACAGACTAATCCACAATCAGAGATGGCGAATTAAACACACCTTTCTCAGTAATTAAAAGACAAAAATATCAATGCAGATAAAAAAGATCTGAACAGAACTTTTAACTAACCTAAACTAATTGAGGTAAAATACTACACCCAACAAGTACACATTCTTTTCAAGTGCATGTAGAACATTGACCAAAATAGGCTATTTATTTGCTGAGCTATAAACCAAGTCTCAAGAAAGCATCACTGTATTAAGTAAGATGAAAAAGTTTGTTGTTGTTAGGGGCCATCAAGTCGGTTCTGACTCAGTGACCCTGGATACAACCGAACAAAACACTGTCTGGTCCTAAGTCATCCTCACAATTGTTGCTACGTTTGAGCCCATTGTTGCAGCCACTGTGTCAATCTATCTCCTTGAGGGTCTTCCTGTTTTTCGCTAACCGTCCGCTTTACCAAGCATGATGCCTTCTCCAGGGACTGATCCCTCCTGATAACATGTCCAAAGTACGTGAGATTAAGTCTTGCCATCCTCACTTCTGGCTGTACTTCCAACACAGATTTATTCATTCCTCTGGCAGTCCAGGGTACAGTCAATATTCTTCACCAACATCGTAATTCAAAGGCATTCTTCTTTAGTTTTCCTTATTCATTGTCCAGCTTTCTCATGCATATGAGGCAACTGAAAATACCATGGCTTGGGTCAGGCACACCTTAGTCTTCAAGGTGACATCTTTGCTTTCTAACACCTTAAAGAGATCTTTTGCAGCAGATTTGCCCAATGCAATATGTCATTTGATTTCTTGATGGCTGCTTCCATGGGCATTGATTATGAATCCAAGTAAAATGAAATATTTGACAGCATCAATATTTTCTCCATTTATCATGATGTTGCTTATCAGTCCAGTTGTGAAAATTTCTGTTTTATTTTTGTTGAGGTGTAATCCATACTGAAGGCTGTAGTCTTTGATCGTCATCGGTAAGTGCTTCAAATCCTCTTCTTCGCTTTCAGCAAGCAAGACTGTGTCATCTGCACATTGCAGGTTGTTAATGAGTCTTACTCCAATCCTGATGCCGGGTTCTTCTTCATATAGTCCAGCTTCTTGAATTATTTGCTCAGCATACAGATTGAATCAATATGGTGAAAGGATACAACCCTGACACACACCTTTCCTGATTTTAAACCATGTATTATCTCCTTGTTCTGTTCAAACAACTGCCTCTTGGTCTATGTACAGGTTCTGCATGAGCACAATTAAGCTTTTTCTACTCTTACTGATTTTTGTATTTTTACCAATCTGTTTTTTAAGCCAATATTAAGTTTCAGTAGTGACTGAAAATATATTAAACACCACTAATATAAAAGGCTGTGAGCTGGATGCTAGGGGCAGAAAGAACATTAATATTCTTGACCATAAAATTCCCTATTCTTATATTATTGGCTTATAACCAACGCTTACAGCACAATATTGTAAAGTAAAAAAGAAAACAGTGGGACCATCTTATCACACTTTTCATTTCTTAGGTAAAGCAGCTTCAGCTCCAAAAGGGTTTGTAAACGCAAATGTGTATAGGGCCAAGCAGACAGAATAAGTAAAGAGAGTTAGGTGAGAGCTGAAGAGCAAACGCAGCACAGCCCCAGCAGATGGTTGCTCTGGAGGGGAACATGGAACTAAGCATTGTCAGATCTGATCTTGCCATCTGCAGTCAGAAATCTGTATCTTTTTGTGAGCAATTTTATTTTTAAATAGACAACTAATTCAAATTAATCAGAGAAGCAAACAACAAATACTGTGGAGAATAAATAGAGTTCTGTATTGTCAGAAAGCTCTATTCTAAAAGATTAAGCATAATTACCACTTCTAATCATGGTTCTGCCACTTACTTACCAGCTATATAACTGAGACTTAGTTATTACATCTGTAGGTACTAATCCCTACCTCATAGGCATGTTGTTGTTGTTGTTAGGTACCGTTGAGTCAGTTCCGACTCATAGCAACCCCATGTACAACAGAACAAAACACTGCCCTGTCCTGTGCCATCCTCACAATCGTTGTTATGCTTGAGCCCATTGTTGCAGCCACTGTGTCAATCCATTTTGTCAAGGGTTTTCCTCTCTTTTGCTGACCCTGTACTTTACCAAGCATGATGTCTTTCTCCAGGGACTGGTCCCTCCTGATAACACGTCCCACGTATACACTTTGGACACAGGCATGTATATTCAGTAAAATAATAGCCAACATTATTAAAATAAATACTAAAAGGATCAGAGCATTGCAGAGTCACCTTGACATATTCTTGGTCCTAAGCTAACATTTGACTGTAATTACATGGAAAGTTTTAATAAATCAAAAGAATATGCCTACCAGAAAAAGAGTTGATCAGCAGTGCAAGCACTGAAAAAAAAAAAAGACTGCTGAGAAGCAAAATTGGCAGTAACAGCTTAGCATTGCTTAGGGAACTGGGTGTTCTAGGTCAGTGCTTGGTTATGAGTCTCTGTGTTTTGGCCATATATTAGACTGCTGATGTTCCATCTTGTAATGTAACACAATGTAATATAATGCAATGCAACACAATGCAATGTAATGTAATCACATTCCATGAGGTGACCTGATGTGATCAACCAATCAGTTGAAAGGGGAGGCTCCTTGAAGGTGCAGTCTGCCTCCACTATATAAATGGATATTCTGGCACTCCAGCTCTCTTTCTCTCTCTCTACCCTGCACTCTTGTCGTCTGACATCCAGATCTTGGAACGTAAACCTGCAGAAGTCTCTGGTCTGCCACCTGATTTGCAGATTTTGTTTTCGCCAGCCCCCACAATCCTGTGAGCCAGCAGAAGTCTCCAGCCTGCTCCCTGATCTCTATGGATTTGGAACTTGTTAGCCCCAACAACTGCATGAGCTATTTCCTTGAAGTAAGTCTTTCTCTCTCTATATATATATAAATAAATATGTATCTCTCTCTCTTTATAGATACACATACATATATATACAGAAGAAGTACAGCCAGAATGCTGCTTACAAGTGAGGATGGTGAGACTTTGTTTCAGATACTTTGGACATGTTATCAGGAGGAACCAGTCCCTGCAGAAGGACATCACGCTTGGTAAAGTAGAGGGTCAGTGAAAGAGAGTAAGACTCTCAAGGAAAGGAAATAGATTGACACAGTGGCTATAACAATCAGCTCACACATAGCAATGATTTTGAGGATGGCGCAGGACAGGGCAGTGTTTCTTTCTGTTGTACATAGGGTTGCTATGAGTCAGAACTGACTCGATGGCACCTAACAACAACAACCTATACATCTCACTGGTTTTATTCCTCTAGAGAACCCAACCAAGACAGTGCTGTTCAATAGAACTTTTTGCCATGGTAGAAATCCACTATTTAGTATAGTAGCCACTCACTGTATGTGACTATTGAGCACCTGAATGTACTAGTGCAACTGAGGATCTAGTTCTTAATTTCAATTAATTTAAATAGCCACATGTGGCTAGTAGTATCATATGGGACTGTGCAGCTCTAGGTCATTTTATACTTGAGCAAGGTATATGATTATGGTGTAGAGGAATATATCAGGTTAGCATAACTTGATTACAGTCCAACTAATTTGCGAGAATTTTATGCTGACTGAGCAATTCCCTAGCTAGTCATTACTGTAACATATAGATTAGCCTAGAGGAAGAATGTGCACTATGAGCAAATGTAAATATTTGATCCACGTATCTAACTGTAATAAACTGACATATTGATTTTTATTTCTTATGAAGTGGGTTATCTTGAATCTGTCCTTTGGTATGCTAACGAAGTTGACCTTGCTAGCTTACCACACTCACAACCAGGCTCTGAAATGTGGTAACCATGCCAAGGAATTGTTAACCTGTAGGCACTGGTCTGGATGATATATTTGCCTTACTGTACAACTTCTAAAACTGAAATTGAATCTGTTTCTTAACTATATGTAATTTTCTTTCCATTGTACAGCACATTTATTTTCAATGAGTTAAAAGCATTTTTTACCTCTTTTTCCAGTATCTTCAAATTTTTATCATTCTTTTGAGATTCCTTCTATTTAAAAATCAAAGAAAAATGATAAATACATTTAAATTAAATGACACAAATATCAGAGCCAAATTTGATTTTTAGTTATCAGACAATTAATGGCCCAAACATTCAATTTCTATTTTAAAGATTTCATTGAGTCTATCAAACTTTTTGTAGGTCACTTACTTGGTATATGAAGAAAAAGGTTGTTAACATCTCAACATATTTCAGCTTTAAAAGTTTTCACCCAGATAGATCAGGCTTTTTATTTTTTTAACAACTCCAGTCAAAGGAACAGGTAGAAACTCACAAAAAAAAGCTATAGGCTGCCTCCCTTCTAATGTTAAACAGCAATACATTTTGAATATTTAATTATGCTATCTCAAAAAGAAAAAAAAAAATCTTAAGAAGTGCAATCAAAAACTTTGATACCTAAAGGGGAAAAAAATTTACAGATGCAAAGAGATAAAGAAATACCAAAATAGTACAAAATCTGATTCAGATTTACTTATTACCTTTATTCTAAATGAGACATATGGTTTTCACACTACATCTTTTTATATCTAACGGTTTTTCTGACACAATGACTAGAAACAGAATGTCTTTTCTAAAAATGGAAGAGAATGCAGAAACATTTTGAACAAAATCTGTTTTATATATTTCTAAGTTGGAGGAGTGTCAAAACAGTCTCAGGTTTATTAATGTTGCACGCATGGCATTTTCTAGCAAAGAAGGCCTATTTTTCTGGGTTCTACATGACCTTGTATGTATTTCTTTCTTCTAAGAGAGTTTGTGAATTCTATAATTACTTCAAGTTTCAAAAGTGTTTCTCCAAGAAATTCAAGTCATTTATACCAATGTCCAAGAAAAGTGTCTATATCAGGTATCAACAGGAACATAATGCAAGCTACACATATGTTTTAAAATTTTTAGTCATTTCTTAAAAAGTAAAATTTTAGTTCTAGCAATATATTTTATTTAATCCAATATATAAAAATATTATTTTAATGTCATTATTATTAAACAAATTAATGACAAATTGCATATTTTTATACTCAGAAGTTATGTATATTTTACAGTTAACCCAAAAACAAAACCTGTTGCTGTCGAGTCAATTCCGACTCATACCGACCAGAGCACATCTCAATTCAGATGCTTAATTTTCATCAGAAATATTTATCTATATTTAGATTTCATAAAATGTACAGATGAAAAAGTAGAGTCACATACCCAAGTTGTTCTAAAAATATTCAAAAGTTTTATCATAGCAGAATTGAGTATTCATTTTTAATTAAAATGAAATAAAATTGAAAACTGAGTTCTTCAGTCACACTAGCCACATTTTAAGTGCTCAACAGCTACATGTGGCTAGTGGCATCTCTACTGGACAACACAATTGCATTTTACAGAACAAGACTTAGGTAACTGCCAAATGCACGAACAAGTGAAAGTTTAACAATAGCTTTGGCTTCCCATGTCTGAATCTTTTTCACATTAAAATATCTATTAATTTTTGGAACTCCTTAAGAAAGTACAACTTGCTTCTGAACTAATAAAATACTAATAGTAGGCTCTTGCACAAGCCCTAACATCAAACTACTAGGAATTTAACCTCCCTCTGTTCCTTGGCACTTTCTGAGCAGCAAACCTATGCTAGGCATTAGCATTTTTTTTTTTTTTTCCGTTTTCTTTACTAATACCTATCCTTCCCTATAAACAAAACAAAACAGACAAACACAAAAACAACCCTAATGCTGTTAACTAACAAATCAAAACATCACATCATTTTAAAGGTGTACTAGGTAAGATGAAATTTATCTAGACATAGAAATGACTGAGAAGTGAAGGCCATTTTATAATTCTGAACTATGGTGGTGGTGTTGTTAACTGTCGTTGAATCAATTCTTGGCCGTGCTTAAACATAATATATTTAGTAATGACCTTGTCAGAAATGTTAAATTTGCTAAAGTCCTAACCTAATGATACCATGTTTCATTACTTTATAGATTTACTTATAACTTTGATTTATACACTTATCCCATTCTAGTCAAAAACAACACCTTTCAGAAATGTGTGCAATGATACAGTTGATAAACCAGCTGGTGTATCAAAACTTCTCACCTTTAATCCTGAAGTCTTCACTTTTTTTGCTGAAGCAGGCAAGCTGGTAGTATCTTTGTCAAAAGTAAGATTTTGTTGAGTTTCTGCTAAAGCTGCAGAAAAATGAATTGTACAGATCATCGCTGGTGCTTACATGTTTTTAACCACAGATAAAACATCCAAATACCTTATTGTAACTATTACTGTAGCAATACAAAGTTATTCTTGTCTTGATTATACATTTCCAAATAATTAGTTGCACAAGATTTTATACATATCTAACATCTTCCTGATTTTCCTAATATTCCCTAATAGAAAGGTTAAAGGAATTACCAAAAGGGGAAACTATATATGTAAGTGAATGTCTTGTTAAATTTTGCTGCTTATACAGCAATGTAATGATGAAGGTATTATTCTGTACTTGATCCTTTCATAAATTCATCAAATAAGAAAATTTAAATATAGTTCTAACTTCTCATTTTTAGAAACATTATATATTTAAATTTAAATACTGCTATTCATAATTTTAAAATATGTGAGATCATATAACCATTTTTTATTTTGGGATCCATTACCTTTTTTTTTTTGAAATCGTTGTGATTTCTGAAAGGATACAGGTCCTTTCAATACTTCTGAAGTTTTAACATCATAAGCCCCTGGAGATGGAGCACAACCTAGAGGAAACACAAAACATTCATGTGTCATCTAGTGTTACTTATGATCTTAAGTTGAAAACATGTCAAAATACAGTGATTAATATAAATGTAAAATGCCATTAATAAAGTGAATTGCTTCTTTGTTTTATGTAAACATAGCATAAAGCACAGAGGTTACGCATATCATTACCTTGCCAAATACTCTTTATTTCAATGGATCGAAAGAACATGGACAACTGACTAAAACAGTAAACACAGTCTTGGGATGAATATCATGTAATGACAAGCAACATGGTTTTGTTACTGAGGACTGAAGACAAGAAACAAAATATTTGTATCAACTCTACTCAGACAGTCACTGAGGTAACTACCATCAGTTTCTAGGAATGAAACAATTAAAGATGTCTAGGCCTTAGGATTTAGCCTGAAATAAAAACTTGTGGTGATAACCCATCTCTGGTTAATATCAATACATCAGACTCACTGACAATGTAAGCTGCAATTTGAATGAAACAATAAAAGCCACCATGCTACTAGCAACTAAAATTTCTGGGGCACTTACTAAATGCTAGGCATTATCCTCAGAACTTTATGGATATTATCTCATTTAATCATCACAAGACTCCTACAATGAATTAATAACTCTAATTTACATACAAGGAGCTTAGGTCCAGAGAATTTATAAAGCCATGTTATTCAAAGTACAAACTACACTAGGCTATATTTTTATGTTCCAAAAAGTTATAATATGGAGTCCCAAACTGAAGGCATCTCAGAGTACTTATTCTCAGCAGAGTTGAGATTAGGCCCTCAGGATTTACAGTTAAAAAACTGTCCTTAGTATAAAGCTCTAGATTAGGAACCAGTAGATTTATAATATTCTCTGAAAAACTATACTTTTAGTATGGAGTCTCATGCAAATAAACAGAAATAGCAAGGAGCCTCAACTATCGCAAGGCAACTACTGCTGTCTCCTAAGTATTTTTCAAATGGTAGCCAGGGACTCATTAGCAGGTATGATAAGCATTAAAAACAACAACAACAACAAAAAAAAAACCTAGAAAATATCAGAGTTCATCATGTGTCTGTGTTAGCAAGTTAGCAAGTCAGTGTTAGCAAGGTTAAGCATTGTTTTGTGAAACTTTTGTTTCAGTTACATATGTCTAGAAATATAAAAAATACATTCTGGTTGTGTTGTTAGGTGCTGTCAAGTTGATTTTTGACTCATAGTGACCCCATGTGACAGAGCAGAACTGCCCCCACTGGGTTTTCTAGATTGCAGTCTTTATGGAAGCAGATGGCCAGGTGTTTCTCCTGAGGAGCTGCTGGGTGGGCTTGAACTCCCAACCTTTCAGTTAGCAGCAGAGCTCTTAACCATTGTGCCATGGGGGCTCCTTATATCCTGGATAAAAATATAAAATTTATTTCTCACTCAGAGCCAGTTAAAAAAGTCTGAAAATCATTGTTCTCACCAATTCTAGGTAAACTACATATACATATATAACATCAAGGATAGAATCAAGTTCCCATACCTCTATCTGGAATCATGGCCATTTATATGCCTGACACAAAGACTCCAATTCCGGGAATTCTCAGATCTAAATGTGTCAATAAAGGGTAGAGGCAGTGGGATTTCCAATCAGGAGGGATAATCTCAAAAGGAAGTACTATTGAATTCATTGGGGGTATTTTAGGTAAGGATAGACTTAATGAAAAGTATTAATCTTGGCTAGCTCAGATTTCCCAAATCTCATAAATTAGTTACACCCTAGGGTGAGCATTAGGGTTGGCAGGGGGTTCCCTAAAATCAGGCTAAATATGGCACATCTTCCTAGAGAATTCATTTTACTCATCTAGGGTAGGGAAGGCAGTGTTATTGTTGTTGTTAGTTGCTGCTGAGTTCATTCAGACACATGGGGACCCATGTGTGCAGAGTAGAACTGCTCCATGGAGTTTTCAAAGCTGGTACCTTTCAGAAGCAGACCACCAAGCCTGTCTACCAAGGTGCCTCTGGGTGGGTTCAAACCACCAACCTTTCAGCCAGCAGTCAAGTACTTAACCATTGGTGCCACCCAGGGACTCCTGAAATCAGGTTAAGTATGGCATATCTTCCTGGAGCATTCATTTTATTCATTTGAGGGTGTGGGTGGGTGAACAGATTACACCATAATTCTACTCTAGTTTAACAATTTGTCAGGCTCCATGTGATGAAATATGTGTACTATATACATGCAAGTTGTCCTCTAGTTTGAACTAATCAGATGTCCATGGAGCAGAGTCCATTTCTTTTGTATAATAATTATATTTATTCAAATAAAGTATTAATAACCTCGAGCCCTGGTGGTGCAGTGGTTCAGAGCTACAGGCTGCTAATCAAAAGGTCAGCAGTCGGAATCCACCAGCTGCTCCTTGGAAATCTTATGGGGCATTCTACTCTGTCCTATAGGGTCGCTATGAGTTGCAATCGACTCGATGGCAACGGGTTTGGTTTGGTTTACATGATAGCCTCAAGGAGATGGATTAACATAGTGACTGCAACAATGGGCTCAAACATAGCAACGATTGTGAGGGAGGCCCAGGACCAGGCAGTATTTTGTTCTGTTGTACCTAGGGTTGCTATGAGTTGGAACCAACTCAACAGCACCTGACAACAAGTTAGCTACGAAAGGATACAAAAAAGAATAATATACATTTCTTGACCTTAAGGAGCCTACAGTCAAGTAGAGGAGGAAAGTTAAGTATGAAATAAATAACTGTAAGAGTTATTCACACATACAAGATCATCCTTATTTTAAAGCAAACTGGAGAATTCAAGGAAAACTGTCAGCACTACTGGTAGCTACGCCTTTATGGGGAAGTGTGGGGAGGTGGCATGCAGAGCCCAGTTATCCTCCTTTGCTCTCTGCTCTTAGGGATCGTCTGTGAAAAAGTGCGAGATGCACTGCCCTAGACCTGGCAGAGCATCCAGAAGAGAAACATGATGTAGAATTGTAGTCCATCATTGGGACTATGCTCTCAAAAAGGAATAAGGGCTAGCAGAAGATAGGACAATGGGCAGTGGTTAAGCAGCATCATGCCAGTTGAGAATAATTAAAGACTATGCTTAATGAAAACACGTCCCTAAAGAGTCAAATTTGATAGATTTGTATTCAACGACTGGGTTGAAATCGAGCCTATTTACTTACTAGCTCTTTGTGAGACTGTAGCACAATACTATTTTCATGCTTTCAGCATTTTCCTTATTAATGCTTAAATTTACTTAGATATGACTTGTTAGAAATCTGGAGGGAAGGAACATCAGACAAAAGGAATGGGATATCCTGGGAGATACCACAAGCTTTCTGGAACAAAGGTTAAAATTATAACTTGATCCACAATGATCCAAAGCTGAGGCAGGTGGTCAATAATTGTATGCAGGCAAAACACTTTATATACTACATCAAATAAATGCTTCAAATTTCAGACCTTCGTATATTTTCTACTTCTACCTGGAATGGACAGCCCACCTTCCATTTTACCTTGCACTTATCCTTCAGACCTCAGCCTGAATGCCACCTCCTCTAGAAGTTTTCTTTGAATCCTCAAATTAAGTTAGAAATCCCCTCCATAGCAGCCTGTTCTTATTGTTTCTACTACAGAACTTCTCACAGTTTTGCAATGGCAGGCTTACTTATCCAGCTCCCACATTAGAAAAAACTGCGTTAAGCTGGGGTCTGTCTTAATCATGTCTGTATCCCCAGTATTTAGTGCAGAGTTGAGTTAGCAGTACAGTGAAAAAAACACAGAAGTGCGTCCAGGTCACTGTTCAAATCCAGCTTTGTCTGCCGATCAGTAGACACTACTTTGGGCCAGATACTCTGTAAACATGGGGAGACAATGCTGAATAAGAACATTATGCTCTCTTCTCTTCCACTCTAGCTTTAAGTCCCCTGGAAAGTTACTCCTACTCTTTGAGGCTCAGATTCTTCATCACTGAAGCAGGAATTAAAAAAATGCACCTCATAGTATGGTTGTGAGGATTACAGGGGTAGAATGTTTATCACCATAGTGCCTCACGCATACAAGCACCAAATAAACGTCAGCTGTTACTATTCCTGAAACTGTGCGCCTGAGGTACTGCATCACTTGTAGAGTCATCTTAATCTACTATAAAGCAAAGGAATTATCCTTAAAAGCTTCAATGCTGACAGAACTAAAGTAGATTATTTGAATACCTGGGGAAGAACACAGTATTATTTGACTCTTCTAATTAAGAAAATAAGCTTGTGCTGATCCACTTGCACTCGGCCTCGTTTATGAGAAGACTGGCACACATTTTTACATTCACGTGTTAACTGATAGAAATTAAAGATGTAACAAGAGATCATCAAATAGTGTATATTATAATGGATAAAGCATGGCCTTTGGTGTTCAGTTCTATCACTTATTGGCTGCTAAACCAAACCTGTTGCTGTTGAGTCAATTCTGACTCATCGTGACCCTACAGGACATAGTAGAACTGCCTCATAGGATTTCCAAGGAGTGGCTGGTAGAACTGTCGACCTTTTGGTTAGCAGCGGAGCTCTTAACCACTGCACCACCAGGGCTCCTATGGGCTGCTGGATAGTTACAAAACCCCAGTTTTCTCATCTGTAAAATGAGAACAATATTAGTACCTGGCTGTTGCAAGGAATAAATGAGATCATGTAGGGAAGACCTTAGCACAGTCTTAGCACATAGCTAGCATACACTAAATGAGTGCCTACCAACCACATCCAGGGCTTCCTGGTTATTGTGATTATGCAGTGCAGTGGTTAAGAGTACAGGATAGACTGGTGGAGGCCTGGGTTCATACCTCAGTTCAGCCATGGTTTGGCTGTGTATTACTGGGAAAGTCTCAGCCTTTTTATCCATGAAATAATAGTATCACTTAGGACTGTTAGGGATTAAAAAAAGAGCTAATAATCCATATGAAGACTTAGTACAGTGCCTGGGGTATAGGGTTAAGTGGTCAATATTAGCTGCCATCACTTCAGTTATACTGTTTTCAGTAACAGCTTCTGCCATAATTTTACACTCAGTACCTGCCTTTACCAATCTTCCTTCATTTATGCCCAAATGGAGTATCTAAAAGAAGTCCACAGCTTCAAATGAAAAGCAATGCGCAAATATTCCTACCAGAGAGGCCTTCCGGGGCTTTAAGTAGCATCCCCTCCTCCCTCCTATCTCCTTCGCCCTGCTTGAGTTTCCCCACAGCACTAACAGTTATTAAGTGTATTCCTCACTTGAAAGTTAGCTCCACGGGCAGGAACTTTACTTCGCGCACTGCTGTATCCTTAGCATCCTGAACAGGGCTTGGCAAGTAGTGTTGTTAGTTGTTCTGCAGTTGATTCTGACATAGTGACCCCATGTAAACTCTATGACACGTAGTAAACGCTTAATATATACTTGAGGAAATAGATCAATTCAATGTGCCCTTTCCCAGCCCTAAAATCGCATCATTATTGCCTTCTATGAAGGGCACCGGGAGAGCTAAGGAGCGTGAGAGCGTCTCCCGTCCCCCAGCCTCTTTCCCCGTACGCACCGGAAGGGTCATTGAATCGTTTCAGGGGCGCCTTAGGAAAAGACATGCTGACGACCACCGCCACTAACCGAAGCTCACAGCGCTCCTCCGCAAACCGCCGGCAGGTTATTACTGTCTACTGGCTTCAAATTCAAACCTCCCACATTCCCCGCCCACGCCGACGTCAGCCAATTGGAAAACTAAAACCCTGGGGTACACCAATCCCTCGCCGGAACACTAACAGCATAGGCAATATGCTCTCGCGTCCAATTAAGTGGCCTATGAGTTGAGGCTATCAGCCAATAGGGAAGTACTACTCACCCCGTGATTTCCGACGTTTCTCAATTTGACCTAGGCACTGGAAACATTTGCGCAAGCGTATTTCACACCTGAGAAAAAGTTTCCTATAGGCGTCATACAGGTGGACAGTCACATGGGGTTCCTACTTCACTGGTTCCAACCGTCTCTCACTGTTCTTTGGATATAAATTGTTCTGGGTTTCAGTTCTTTCACATTGGGCTCTTTCAGAGTCCAAAATGGCTCTAGAAAGAGAAAAACGACACAAACACCCTTGGGTCCCTGCGCATGTGCGGTGACCCGAACGGAAAGGCCAGGGACAAGCCTGCGCGTGGGCATTCTGCGCGTGCGCACAGCCAACTCCGTGCGGTGGCAGGTGGGAGGTGACTGGAGTATGTCGGCCCCGTTTGAGGAACGCAGTGGGGTGGTTCCTTGTGGGACACCGTGGGGCCAGTGGTACCAGACCCTGGAGGAGGTGTTCATTGAAGTTCAAGTGCCGCCAGGCACTCGCGCCCAGGATATCCAGTGCGGCCTGCAGAGCCGGCATGTGGCGCTGGCCGTGGGTGGCCGCGAGATCTTCAAGGTAGCGGCCGGTCTTGGCTTATACTCAGTATCCTCTTCCCGGCCTCACAAAATTCCTGAGTCCTGAGGTTCATTGCTTTCGTGCAGGGAATCTTGGAAGGCCCTACGGCTCCTCTGGCCAAATGAGAGAGCGCAATAAAATTGGCCTAATTTTGATCTGGTCGGAACTCCCCCCCTCAGGACCAGCCCAGAGTTGAGGAGCCCATTTTTCTGGCTTTATTTTCAGACGAAAAAAGGGTGTGTTGTTTCTCTGAGGGTCTTCAGCTGAGGAGAAATTAACTATTAAAGCAACAAATGTCTATAGTACATATCCTTTTACCAGGCACCGATAGAGGTCCTGGGAGTACGCGGTAAACGAGGCAGGTAAGTTTCCTGCATTAAGAGAGCCTACGTTCTTGCAGAGAGCGTGATAAACTAATATTTAAAGCAGGTGTTGGAAAGTATAATAAAGTACTTTTGTTGTACAAAGTATAATAAAATTAAAAGTCCAGAGTATAAAAAAATGGGATATCGGGGTGAAGCTTCAGAGATGATGTCAGGTGATTTATTAAGATTTTAAATTTTCTGCATGGTTGTGGAGTGGTCACACTGTACATCTTTTTATCTTATATCTTATATCTTTTATCTTTTTATTAGTGCCCTTTAGAACTGGAATCCGCTTTTTCCTTAGGTTTGTAGTTTAAGTTGAAGTTGGATGTCTTTCTCGGATTAGTTGCCCGGATGTTTGATGGCAATGTAGTATAGTGGTGAAGGGAGACTGCTTGGTATGACATCTGACTCTGCCAGTTTTCTAGTTTTATAGCCTTGGGCAAGAGATTACTCAGTGTCTCCAAGTCTCTTTCTTCATTCATAAAATGCGGTATTTATGGTACCTTTCTCGTGGATTATTGTAAGCATAACATAATATCCATATGAAGAGCTTGCAGTGGTGTCTGGTAGTTAATAAGCACACGTACATGTCAGTTACTAATATTTTATATGGAGGTGTTTTGAGTGCCTCAGAGAAAAGACAGACATTGATTTATGCCAACTTGAATCTTTATGGCCTTTCTGAATAGTTGTGCAATTTATATTGTTTCCTGTACAATGGTTGTTTAAGATTACAATTCAGATTTACTTTAGTGATTGTGATAACTTTGGGAATTAAGCAGTAACTCTGGGATTTTAGATGTCTATTTAAAACAGGATTTTTTTTTCTCACTAGTGTTGATATATTTAAAAAAAAATGTTTTGTGCCATTTTGATTTCATTTCCTAAAACTTAAAATTGGCAAGTAGCAGCAAATTAAAATGGGTTTTAGGGTATGCATTCTCCTTTTAAACTTACATTTTGCTCATTTCTTTTTTTAAAAACAAGAGTTTCAGAAAAATCAGTAACAACTAACCTGACATCAGATCTACAGTATGTGCTTCAAAAAAAATTTTTAACGCCAAATTACGCATCAGAGAGATTGAAACAGTTTTTAAGAAGTTTATTTTCAAAGCAGCATTTCTTCTTAGTTTCAGCAAGAGATCCCTTTTTGTAGTTCATTTTAATTGGTAAAATTAAAGCATTTTAGATATTTATTTCACATTTGGCTATCAGTGACCAATAGTGTTTCTACACCTTCTAAAAATTAAGGAGTCATAATCTTTTTTTAGGGACCACATGTTCTTTGGCACAGTATTCCAAGCAATGTGAAGTGGGCTCCATTTCACTTTCTTGGAGGAAACTTACGGTTGAGCACCTATAAATGTAAAATTGTATAAAATTTGATCTCCCTGCTCTAACCAAATTAAATGAATATATGTGGATTAGGAAAATAGATCAGTCTTAAATCATGAAAGCTTTATAAAAATTAATGAAATGCTATATTTTTAGTATCCTGTGTATTTATTTTTCAGGGAAAACTCTTTGATTCTACAATAGCTGATGAGGGAACGTGGACATTGGGTAAGGGTAACTTATAATATTTCAAAGACTTTTAAAAATTTTTCTTGTAACTTAATATGTTTCATTCTTTTTTATTAGGTCCTTTTGTCTTTACAGCTTTGAAAGTTACAGTAGTAAAAATATATTGAAACCAAAACCCTTTGCTGTCGAGTCGATTTTGAGTCATAGTGACTCTATAAGACAGAGTGGAACTGCCCCATACAGTTTCCAAGGAGCGGGTGGCGGATTCGAACCACCCATCTTTTGGTTAGCAGCTGAGCTCTTAACTACTGCGCCACCAGGGCTCCATGTTGAAAACGACTGTATATCAAGATTACCTACCTAATGGTTTTTTAATAATACGAAACCTAATGAATTCCAATTTTTTAATTTTTTTTTTTGTTTAGAGGACAGAAAAATGGTCCGTATTGTTCTTACAAAGACAAAAAGAGATGCAGCAAATTGCTGGACCTCTCTTCTAGAATCTGAATATGCAGCTGATCCTTGGGTGCAAGACCAAATGCAGAGAAAACTTACATTGGAGAGATTCCAGAAAGAAGTAAGGCAGATGAGTGTATGCGAAATCATAGAATAATCATTACTATTTGAAATTAAATAATCTAATGTGGTTATGAAAAGTTATAAAAATTCTTGAGGATTTTTTTTTAAGTTAAATGATTAGAAAAATGACTGGCCTCTCTATGTATAGCTTTGATTATTTTTTTTCTTAAGATGAATTTTGCTTTATTTGTACTGCCTGGTTATCAATCATTTAATGATAATTTAATGATAAGTAATACATGACTAGACTCTAATAAAAAAATTGAATTATAGATCTAAATAGTATAAAAAGTAAAAGACCCCTTCACTGACATCCCCCATTCTATGCCTTTATCTCATTCTTATATGTTGTTTGTTTTTATTTTTGACGTAAATGACAAAATGTTCATTTTGCTTTTTCACTAGTAGTATATCTTGGGCCTATTTTCATGTTAGTACATACAGGTAAAACTTTTTAACTGCTTCAGAGTATTCCCTAGTTTGGATGTATCATAATTATTTAGCTGTTCCCCTTTGATATGATTTAGATTTATTTATTTTTCTTTATTTCAAACAAAACTTGTGCTTTCATTTCTGTGAAACTGTTCAAATATTCCTCCAAGATAGATATCTAGTAGAGGAATTACTGCATCAAAGCACTTCTAAAGTTTTGGTGGATAATGTCCATCGGTGTGCTAATAATACCCAAGCATGTCTCTCTAGCCCGAACTTTTCTCCTGAACTTTGGACCCAATCACCAATTGCCTATTCAACATCTGCACTTGGCTATCTGACAGACATCTCAACATGTCCAAAATGAACTCCCTAATTTCCCTCCAAAATGTGTTCTACCTCTCACCATCCCTGTCTCAGTTGATGGAAACTCTAGTTTCTCAGACCAAAAAGAACTTGGGAATCATCCTTGATTCCTATCTTTCAGTCACCCCCATCCAATTTGTCAGGGAATCTTACTGGTTCTACCTCCCAAATATATTCAGAATTTGACCGCTTCTCACTAGCAACACTGCTATGACTCTGATCTAGACCACCTCTAATCTCTTGCCTAGATTGCCTAGGTTACTGCAGCAACCTCCTAATTGGTCTCCCCACTTCTACTCTTGCCCAGCAATAGTCTAAACATAGCAGTTAGAGCAATCCTTTTAAACTATAAGTCAGAACATGTTACTTCTCAGAACTCTGTAAATCATTCCCCTTTTACTCTAGTAAAAGACAATCTGGTCCTCCATTATTTTCTCCTACTAGTGTCCCACTCAATTGTTCTGCTCTAGGCATATTGTCCTGTTTCCTGTTCCTTAAGCATGCCTGGCCATTGCTTTCCTACCCTTCTGACTGGAATGCTCTTCTCCCAAAGATCTGCTTGGCTAATGTCTTCACTGTTCTCAACTCATTGTTCACTGAAGCATATCTTGATCATCCTATTTAATACTATAATCTTCTTCCCGTTTCCCTTACCCTGCCCTAATTTTTTGTTTCATACCACTAACCAACTTTCAGTACACCATATCAGGGTTGGCAAACTACGACCCACAGGCCAAATCTGGCCCATCACCTGGAATAATAAAGCTTACTGGAACATAGCTGTGCTCATTCTTTTGTGTATTGTTTGTGGCTGTTTTCACATAGCGCAGAGTTGCATAGTTGTGACAGAGACTGTAGGGCCCACAAAGCCTAAAATATTTACTACCTGACTCTTTACAAAACAGTTTGCTGACCCCCGGACTAGACAATTTATGCTTTATTATTTGTTTCATCCTGCTAGAATGTAAGGTCCACCAGAGCAGGGATTTTTATTTATTTTGTTTACTCTTGAATTCCAGATGCCTTTAAGGATATTTGACAAACAATAGGAGCTCAATAAATGTTGAATAAATGAAATTGCTCTCCAGAAACACTGAAGTCTGAGATAGTATGGCATAGTGGTCAAGATCTCAGGGTCTGGAGCCATGTTGCCCAAATCCCAGTTCCCTAGTAGATTTGTGACCTTGGGCAAATTCCTTAATTTCATCTACAGTGATAGTATTTCATAGGATTGGTGTAAGGAGTAAATGTGTTGTTATATGTATAGCTTTCAGAACCCTCCCTGGAATACAGTATGCTCTCAAAGAATATTGTCTATTAAAATCTGTTTACACAGTGATATTAAAATGTTTCCATCCATGTTTACCAACACTGTATACACATAAAAATTTTTAAATATTTGTAAATCTGAAAGTTGAAAAGTATCTCATTGTCTTAAATTCCCTTTTGGTGATTACAGTGAAGTTTGCTATCTTTACGTATGTTTATTGGCCATTTAGGTTTTCTTTTTTGGTCATTTGCCTCTGTGTTTTTTCCATTTTTCTTTTGGGTTATTTATATTTTTCCTTATAAGATTTAGTTTATTGTAATTTTTTTTTTCTTTTAGAATCCTGGTTTTGACTTCAGTGGAGCAGAAATCTCAGGAAACTACACTAAAGGTGGACCAGATTTCTCAAATCTTGAGAAATAACTGCTATTTTTTTTCTTTTGTATTCCATGGATCCTTGCAGATGCTGCCAACCTAATCAAAGAAACAGATTATGTGGTAGAAGAAAAATGTGGATGCCTACAGTTAATGAACTGCAAAATACATCTAAAAATGGTTTTAAATAGTGCATTCAAATACGGTTTTTAAAGGAAGCATCTTAAGTATGTGGGAACTATTCTGTGGATATATGGTAACCTTTTTGGACTTATTTTTGCTTAGCATGAGGTTTTATATGCTGCATTTTACTAATTTCATACTTAACCTGTATTTTTAATACAAAAAAGCATGCAGGTATAGATTATGTAAAACAGCAGGGTGCTTTCAGAGAAAATTAAGTTTTTCTTTCAATAAGTACGATGCAGGAATAACATTCAATAAACTTTTCTGAATAGGAATTATGTACCCGTTTGACTAAGTTTGTCAGTTCACAAACAAAATTATTTTACTGCAAAAAAAAAAAAAAAATCACAAATGTATTTTGAGTAAGTTAATTTTAGAAGCTAAAGAAAATGTCTTAATTAGTATATTATTCCTTAACAGATTACTTTATATCAGAAAATTGAAAAGCAGTTAAAAACCTAAAAGTAGGAGTAGATTAATACAAAAGAGAAGCAGCTAAGTGAATATGGTTGTTGGAAAAGTCCTATGTGAGTGGCAGAAAGCAAATTATGGTCATTGATTTGTAAGTCAGTTACATCATTTTGATCCCCAATTATCCAGACATCTAGGTAGGAAATATCTATTGAAATGTTATTTCATCTTTTTTTTGTTCTTTTTAAAAATTAAACATTCTGAAATTTATAGAAAAGTTGCAAGTTCACAGTTTTTTTTTCCCCTGAACTATTTGTGACTAGTTGATTACATGATGTCCCATCACCTGTAATTACTTTACTGTATACATCCCTCAAAGGAGGGCATTCTCTTATATAACTACAATGCAAGCATTATCCCCAGAAAATTAACATTAACATCTAATCCTCAGACCCCTCACCGCATTCCAGTTTAACCAGTTGTCCTAATAATGTCCTTTATAGCAAAAATATCCAGTCAGAATCATGCCTTGGCTTTAAATGTCCGGTGTTTTTAGTCTACTTCAATTTGAAGCAAGTCCTCATTTTTTTTTCCTTAGACCTGGCAGTTTTGAAGATTGCAGGCTAGTTTTGTAGTATATCCCTCATTTTGAGTTTTTCTAATATTTGTAAGGTTCAGGTTATGCATTTTTGGGAGAAATATTATAAATGTGACGTATTCCTGTTGCATCCCTGTCATGAGATAGTAATTTGTTGTGTTTCTGATTGGTTTACTTAGGTGGTGTCTGGCAGAACTTCTCCAGTGTAAAGTTACTCTTTTTCTTTAAATAAATAGCTTGTGGAAAGGTAGTTTCAAAGTACTACATTGTTTTTCATCATAGTTTCACCAGTTTATTTATGTCAATATCGTATAATGCTTACCTATTTTATTCATTGGGTTAAAAGCTATTATTCTCATTACGTTGATTCTCAAAATTATTCCAGATTTGACCAGTGGAAGACCATTCTAAGTGGCTTCTGCCCCATCATTCTTGGAGCAGTTTCTTACTTTCTGGCACAAGATACACCAGTCTTATTATGCTTTCCCTTCCCCAGCTCATGAATCAGCCATTTTTTCAAGGGGCCTTGGTTCTCTTTAGTGGAGAAGTATTTAGAAGCCAAGATCTATGTGCTAGGTGTGCTCATTACCATTGGTGTGTGTGTATGATATGTATGTTTATATCTATTTCTAATCTATATGTTTTGAAAACTGAGTTCACACTGATACTTTCAATTCCAATCCAGTGAGGGTCATTTTAGTTTTATCCTGTTCCATGTTTGTAACTCCCTTAAACCATAGTGAGAAACCTGGTTCTTACTATCCTTAATACATTTGACTTCCTATTTTAGGCCATCTTCCCATGTGAATACTTTTCCTTACCCTGCTCAGGCTCCAACACCAGCGCCAAGCAGGATGCCCTCCTCAACCTTCTTGGGCCCTAGACTCCTGACTCTGGGCCACTGCAGCTCACCCACACCCTTTGGCAAGATGCTTACCTTGCTAAACTATACCCAGTAGCTTTAAGACCGAATTGTTGGGGAAGAGGTTTCTTTTTACATATAATTGGCCTCTCTGTTTGACTTTTTTTTTTACTTTTATTGTGTTTTAGGTGAAAGTTTACAGCGCAAATTAGTTTCTCATTCAAAAATTTTTACACAAATTGTTTTGTGATATTGGTTGCAATCCCCGCAATGTGTCAGCACTCTCCCGCTTTCCCTTTCCACCGTGGGTTCTCCATGTCTGTTTGTTTAGTTTTCCTGTCCCTTCCTGCCTTCTTGTCTTTGCTTTTGGGCAGGTGTTGCCCATTTGGTCTTGTATACTTGATTGAACTAAAGAGCACGTTCCTCACATGTGTTATTGTCTGTTTTATAGTCCTGTCTAATTGGATGAAAGCTGGACTTCGGGAGTGGCTTCAGTTCTGAGTTAGCAGGGTGTCCGGGGGCCATGGTCTCGGAAGTTCCTCCAGTCTCTGTCAGACCAGTAAGTCTGGTCTTTTTTTTCTGAATTTGAATTTTGTTCTACATTTTTCTCCCACCCTGTCTGGGATCCTCTATTATGATCCTCCTACCCTGTCAGTGGTAGTAGCCGGGCACCATGTAGATCTTCTGGGCTGAGGATGTCTGGTGGTTCATGTGGTTCATGTGGTCCATTAGTCCTTTGGACTAATATTTTCCCTGTCTTTGGTTTTTTTCATTCTCCTTTTCTCTGGATGGGATGGGACCAATAGATCTATCTAAGATGGTCGTTTGCAGGCTTTTAAGACCCCAGATGCTACTCACCAAAGTATGTATTATGCCAGTCGACCTATATGTCCCTTGAGACCATGGTCCCCATCCCTCAGCCCCAGTAACTCAGTCCCTGAGAATGTTTGGATGTATCTAGGAAGCTTCTATGACTTTGCCTTGGTCAAGTTGTGCTGACTTCCCCTATATTGTGTATTGTCTTTGCCTTCACCAAAGTTAACACTTGTGTACTGTCTAGTTAGTGATTTCCTCTTCCACCCTTCCCATCCCTCATAACCCTCAAAGATTGGTTTTTCAATGTGTAAATCTTTTCTTGGGTTTTTATAAAAGTGGTCTCAGACAATATTTGTCCTTTTGTGATTGAATTATTTCACTCAGCATAACGCCCTCCAGATTCATCTATGTTGTGAGATGTTTCGCAGATTCATCATTGTTCTTTATGGTTGTATACTATTTCCTTGTATGTATGTACCATAATTTATCCATTCATCTGCTGGTGGGCACTTAGGTTGTTTCTATCTTTTTGCTACTGTGAATAACGCTGCAGTGAACATGGGTATGCACATGTCTATTCATGTGACAGCTCTTATTTCTGTAGGATATATTCCTATGAGTGTGATTGCTGGATTGTATGGTACTTCTATTTCTAGCTTTTTAAGGAGGTGCCATATCGTTTTCCGTAGTGGTTGTACTATTTTACATTCCCACCAGCAGGGCGTAAGAGTTCCAGTCTTCCTGCAACCTCTCCAACATTTGTTATTTTCTGTTTTTTTGATTAGTGCCAGTTATATCAGGG